TGTATGTCGTCGAGTAGGTAAAAGGATGGGTCCAGAGTGTGTGGCATCAACTATTAAACATGGAGGAGGAGGTTTGATGGTCTGGGGCTGTTTTGCTGGATCCAGGGTCGGTGACTTGTACAGAGTGAGAGGCATGCTGAACCAAAACAGCCACCACAGCATTCTCCAATGCCATGCAGTACCCTCTGGTATGCGCCTAGTTGCAGGGGTTCATCCTACAGCAGGATAATGACCCAAAACATAAGTCCAAGCTATGCCAGAACAACCTCAGGAAAAAAGAACAAGATGGTAAGCTTGTAAACCTGGAGTGGCCAGCACAGTCCCCAGACTTAAACCCCATCGAACTAGTTTGGGATGAACTGGACCGAAGAGTGAAAGCAAAGCAACCTACAAGTGTCACACATTTATGGGAACGTCTGCAACAGAGATGGGAAAAACTTTCTGAAGAATGTTTGATTTCTATTGTAGAAAGAATACCACGAGTGTGTTCAGCTGTTATATCTGCCAAAGGTGGTTACTTTGATGAGTCAAAAGTTTAGAATACATTTTGTTCTATAAATTGATTCCATGATTTATTTTTTAACTCTAATTGCTTATTTGTAATAAGCTTTCATTTCAGAGTGCATTGTGACGTTAAAGTGCATAATTTCCACAAAAAAAAAAAAACTGGAAGAAATTGGGATGTTTTAAAACTTTTAACAGGTGATATATATATATATATATATATATATATATATATATATATATACACATATATATATATACACACACACACACACATATATATATATACATATACATATATTTATACATACATATATGTATGTATGTATATACAGTATATATATGTATATATACAGTATATATATATATATATATATATATATATATATATATATATATATATATATATATATAAACTCTTCTTTTGCAACTTACTGCTATATTAGTGCCCACGATAGTTCACATAGACTTCCATTATAAATCTGATCTTTTTGTTTTCCTTTAAAATTGTAAGTGAAGGTTTTTTCTCATCTCATCCCAACACTAACATAAAATAATGTGGACAAACGAAAACTTGCATGCATGACCCTCACCTCAAACCCCGAGGTCGTTCACGGTTCAATCATTATTTCGCTCTTACTGTTTTCGTACAGCAGCTGTTTGTTTGAGACATTTCAACCTGTGCAAATTCCCTTCTCTTTAAAATTGATGTAATGTTCAACTGTCTCACACACTTTCTGCTTCCCAAACAGACAGAAATCCAGCCCTCTGATTGGCTGAGGCCAAATCAAGCTGTTTCCAAGGTTCTGCAGTATTTTTCTGTGCAAAATTATGCTCCAATTGTCTGGCACTCATTATTATTATTATTATTATTATTATTATAAACACTACTACTACTACTAATAGTATTAGAGTAAAAACAAACTTGTAAACTCTTTTTTTTTGTCTTAGTGTGGAACTAGGGTAACTAGGTGAACGTTCTATTGACTAAACATAACAGCATCTCTTTAATTTAAAAGCAGCTCTTCCACCAGAAACAAGAACAAAGATCTTTATCTCTGTAATGCTTTATTTTAAGAGCATTGTTACATTTAATGAACCAGTGGGACTTCTCTGAAGAAAAAAAAAACAATTAAATAAAATATTATTTTAAACATCACATTTTCTTGTGCTCAATTAGGAAAAGGAACCTGTTTGCTTTTAAATTATTTACCTTATATAATTCTGAACTGAAATTGCAATTAATTTATATAGAAATACATTTTGTTTTTCAGTGTTTTTTGTTGTATTTTGTTAGTGTCTAATCTGCTAAAACTGTATTTCAAATGAAAATATCCCTCATGTAGCACCCTGAGATAACTTTTTGGGAGAATATTTGGCTTTTTCTTTGTTTTGCAGGATTCAAAATCTGAGTTGTCAGTAAAACAGAGAAGTTAAAGAGTGTGTTCAAATAGCCAATGTGTTTAACATTAAGACAGAACTATCAGTTTAGTCATGTGGTCAGCATTTATTTTCAAAAGGCATAAAAAAAACATATGTATCTGTATCTGAGTTTGCTCACAGGGTCAGAGGTCAATACTTCCTCACTGCTGCATCTTTCCATAATGGAAGAGGTTATGGAAGAGCTACTCTTGGACATGAAGTGGCTGGAATATTTGCAACCCGGTGCATTTGAAAAAATAAATAAAGTCAGACTGGGAGAGTTTATCTAGGCTTGTGAAATTCTCCATGCAAAACAGGGGAAAATGTTCTCAAACAGCCAAATTCCATCCATCATGGCGGTGTGCTTGCCTAGTAACCTAGTAAACACACGTCAACACGGACTTAAAAAGCATTAACAAACTTTAAAATTCAGCAAATAAGTGCAGACTGAAGCTTAGAGTAGAAATCAGTGCTGTGTGTGCTTCACCGACTTATTGTGTCAATCATTCTCCCTCCTGGACAACCATATTCCAAAACAATAAAACGGAAGGTGTCCTTGGATGATTGGCCAACGCCTTACCAAGATAAAGAGCCTCAGTGATTGTGATCTACCATAAAGTGTGTGAAGAACCACATCCAGGAGGCTTTGCTCAACCAAACAATGGAGATGAAGCCCTCCTGAAACCTGCTTCCTCCTGGTGAGTCTGTACAGGTAGGAAGAACAACCCCAATCAAAATGCTTTTTATTTGCAAGAGTTTTCAGGTTTTCTGCTAAATTACCAATAGTCTTCCTTATTGACAGATGAAGCAAATAAATACCTGACTTTTGATTAATTAACCCATATAAGATAGGGAAATTACTTCCACTTTGAGTCGGTCTGACATTAAAGAGAGAGCTTAAACATTAACTGGTCTAAACCGAATGGCCCGTTTCTGAGAACTGTGCTGCTTAGACTGTAAACCCCACACAAACGTTCATTTTTGAAATTTGCAGCGTGCAAACAAAAAATTCATCCATCATCCATTCATCATCCATCCATCCACCCACCCATCCATCCATCCATGTATCCATCCACCCACCCACCCATCCATCCATGCATCCACCCACCCACCCACCCATCCATCCATCCACCCATCCATCCATCCATCCACCCACCCACCCACCCATCCATCCATTCACCCATCCATCCATCCATCCATCCACCCATCCATCATCCATCCACCCATCCATCCATCCATCCATCCATCCATGTATCCATCCACCCATCCATCCACCCATCCATCATCCATTCATCATCCACCCACCCACCCACCCACCCATCCATCCATCCATCCATCCACCCACCCATCCATCATCCATCCACCCATCCATCCATCCATGTATCCATCCATCCATCCACCCACCCATCCATCCATCCATCCATCCATCCATCCATTCATCATCCATCCATCCATCCATGTATCCATCCACCCACCCATCCATCCATGTATCCATCTACCCACCCACCCATGCATCCATGTATCCATCCACCCACCCACCCATCCATCCATCCATCCATCCACCCACCCATCCATCCATCCATTTTCAGCTGCATATCCAGAGTCAAGTCATGGAGGCAGTAGCCTAAGCAGGGAGGCCCAAACTTCCCACTTCCCAGCCACTTGGGCCAGCTTCACAGGGGGAATCCCAAGGTGTTTCCTGGCCAGCTGTAAGACATCGTGCCTCTAGCATGTCCTGGGTCTTCCTTTAGGTCTTTCCTGGTTGGATGTGCATGGAAAACCTCACGGATGACCAAGCTTCTCACCCTATCTCTAAGGGAGACACCCCGCGAAGAAAACTCATTTTGGCCACTTGCATCCCCAATCTCTTTCCTTCGGTCACTACCCAAAACTCGTGACCACTGGTGAAGGTAAGAACATGGATCAACCGGTAAATCAAGAGCTCTCAAATAAATAAAGTCCTCTCGCATTTGTCTATAAACCTCCACCAAAACCAATAATTGGGCCATCCGGTTTTCTGTCTCACTGAACCACCGCACTTCCGCAGGTCCTCCACTCATTATGCGATTGCACATTCTGCAGCAGAGAAACTAGCAACAGAACACCACTGGTGTGAGAGGTTGTCCACTCAATAACATCACTTCAACTTTAGGACAAACTACCAGAGTCCCAAGAAGAACCCAGATAGCAGACAACTAAAGATGTTTGGACCTAGAAAACAGTGACTGGTGTTCAGCGCTTTCTCGTTTTCTCTGACATTGCGCGTTCCGGTATCAGGTGGATGTAGATAATGGCCAAAGGGAGGGGTGAGAGTTCTGTTACCGTGTTTGTGTTTAAAAGCTAGCTTATTTTGCAGATTTGCAGCTTGAAGCAGGAAAGTTTTTTTCCCTTTGGTTGTTGTCCCATTTTTTTTTGTATGCTAAAGGTAAAATTAAGCAACACTCTTATGTAAAAAGTTACCATTTACATAAAAAACACAAAATATTTCCCATTCTTTTAAAGCCAGTGATAAAAACGGAAGTGAAAATAAGTGAATGAAATGTCAATTTAAATTCACTTAGGAGAGTTTTCAGCAAACCACTGATTTTTTTCTGCACACTGATTTTCATTAGCATCAGATAAAAGGATTTCTCATCAGTTTGTTTCCTCAACTGATCCATTGATGATTTCTACATTTGCAATAATGAATCAGAGGAGTATTCCTTGTGTGATGAAGTTAAAGACAGCATTTAAATCAAATCATGTTTGCGGTGCAGCGATCTGTGCGACTCTTGTCGATGTTAGCGATGAAGAAAGGTCGACCACGTCCGTGACTCAGATCAAAACACAACTATCGATGTGAGAGGATACCTCCAGTGTGACGATGACTAAGCATGAGGCCGGCTGCCTCTGGCACTCTGCAGACATGTTCCATTCTGCTGGTGCTCTGCAAGCACATAAAAACCATTTCACACGCCCCCCCCCCCCAACACCACCCTCCAACTCGTGGATGCACGCCAGTGGGAACTTCAGCAGATCTGCAGCAAACTCTGTGACTGTGAGTGTGTGATAAAAATACTCAAAACAATGAAGTCTTTCACTTAACTTTTTTATTTACTTTCATTTATGAGAAAATATGTTCATATATTAGATACTTTTGTAGTTGTTTTCGTTAAAATTAATATTTAAAACCTACTTTTTTGTCCTTTTAAAATGACATGTGCAGAACTGTCTGGAAATCCCCCAAATATGTAAGCTAAGCATGGTCTTCAAACCCACCCCTTTGTGTGTGCGCGTGTGTGTGTGTTCTTGTACATACTACATACTGAAGACCATTTAGACCATTTTCCCTACAATGTGAGGACTTTTTTTTGGTCCTCGCTTTTTTTAGAAGCTTACCAGTTGGTTTTAGAGGTCTGGTGTGAATGAAGTTTTAGTTAAGGTTAGGGTTTGGGTTAGACATAGTGGAGTCACAAAAATGAATGGAAGTCAATGGAGGGTCCTCACTATGATAGAAAAACAGACATGTGTGTGTGTGTGTGTGTGTGTGTGTGTGTGTGTGTGTGTGTGTGTGTGTGTGTGTGTGTGTGTGTGTGTGTGGTCCTAAGAGAAAACCAGCTCATACTTCAAGCATTCACCACCACCTGTTGGTCTTTTACACACACTGCTGTGTTAATTTACGCATGCTGAAGCCATAACACCATCAAACATGTAACCGTTCACTGATTCAGAATAATTTTTAAAAATCTGATGAATACATTCGTCCTATGTCTCCCGGTTTATCCACCCACTCATCCTGAAAGGTTCGGTTCTCCCTCCTGTGTCAAATCTCTTCTGTACATCAACATGTAAGCTGTGCCTCTGCAAAAAAGAAAACAATGCTGCAATTCTCAGAAAGAAAGACACTAAAACAGGATAATAAAATAAAACATGTCTCTCTAAAAAAAATAAAAACCTGTTTGTTATTTAAAGACAAGACAATATAACAGATGAGGAGGATTTCCTCTGTTTAGAGGTTCAAAAGTTTAAGAGCCCTTCTGGCAAAAACACGGTCACCTTCAGACTTTAATCTTGACCGAGGAGCAGACAATAAGGCTTTGTGTAAAGATCTAAAGCTGTTTCTGCAAGGAGGAGGAGGATAAAAGCTCCATGATGTCAGCCAGAGTTAAGCTTTTAGGGCTTTAAAAGTTATAATTAAGATCTCTTAAAGCGACTGGTAGCTGGTTTATGCGGGAAAAAACATAAAGGTAAAATGTTTTTGTTGCTAAATAATCACTGAAAGCTGTTGTTTTAAAGGGGGTCTTCAGGCTGATGAAAAATGTACAGAGGCATATTACTGCACCCCTTTCAAAATAAAATCCAGCCATAATAACATTTCGTCACATCACATCAACAAAATGTTTTTGTTTCAAATGAAGCTTTTGAAATCATGGCATGATATTTATGTGTTCTTGCAATTTATTTTTCACACCCAAATGAAATGTTTTCATATACATATGGCTCACAATAAAAAATGATCACACTTGACAGGTCTGTCTTTATTATGGTCACCATTTTTTAAATCATTTTTAGAGGAGCACATTAAGGTGTGATTCACTCATTCAGTCAATACATTTGCAGTGGTCTCTAATTTCTTGGAAGTCGTACTCTGGGGAAAAGAAGCTCTGGTGTGCCTGTTTCAGAGACTAGAAGTGAGCCACATCAGAGTTCAGCTCTGACGGCAGGATTTGGAGTCTTATTTCCTGACATGTGGACATCTCACCTCTGATTGGCTAACAGCAACACAATTCTACCCCTGACCGCTTGCTTTGAAATGCTGATGTTTTATCTCCACAAATAACACGAGCCTAAATGAGTTCTGCTGTGTGGTGGAGTTTCTAATGCTAACAGTTAGCTTCTCCTAGCCAAAACAATCTCTGCTGTTTCCTGGACGTTAAACCAACAACAGCCTTCCCCGTCGTGAGCCAAGATGAGTGAGCCCATGAATGTTAAGTGACAGTGTGATGTAGATTTGTCAGGATTTTCTAATCTGTTTCACCGTCTATTTTTTTATCAGAAGGTAATGCAGGAGATAGGTGTAGGAGACTATTTTCATGTTCAGCCTGCATGAAAAACCCAGAGTGACTGATTATAATCAGAAACAATAATTAACTCATTCACTGCCGGCCGTTTCCTGATCGCTGAAGGCCTTCGCTGCCAGCGTTTCTCACCGTTGTTACTGTTTTTTTAAGAGTCACAGAACGATCTCCTAACACATGGATGTTCTGCTTCCTGATCACGTGACGTGTGACATATGCGGATGAAGATCGGCTTTAGAGCTGAGATGTTTGTTCTATCGGCGCGGGGGCTTGTTCCAACGCCCACACAGTAAAAAAAACGCAAGTGAATGAGTTAAAAAATGTTTTATCAGTGAATCACATCTTTAATACTCCACAAAAGATGGCACTGGAACACAAACTGATGAGCTAGTTACCTGTCAAGCCTGCCGTATGCTGTCTGCACCTCTCTCCATGACACCTTTGAGTTTTGAGACAAATATAATTTTAAGAAAATTCAAAAACCAAAAATAATTTTGTAACATTCAGACTGTTTAAAGAAAAAATGTAAAGAGTTTATATTGGTGATCTTGTTTTTTGCCATGTTTCTGATCTGAGGAATCATTCAAATGTCTGCTTACAAGATTTTTTGCTTTAAAGGGGCATTATGGAAGTTTGACAGCCAAAACATGTATAGAAATAATACATTTTTTCTTCATACATTCTCCTGCAATGCCCTGGTCCTGTAGAATGAGCCCTGGCATTTTTACTGTGATTGCCTGTTTTTCTGTAAAATCACAGAAAAAGAGAGCTGCTCGGGTCGAGCAGGCTGCTTCATGCGCGTTCACGCTCAGGCATAGCTCGTAGCATTTGCTATCCGTAGCTTTAGCAGCAGAGAGAGAAGCAGTGCCACTTTGTCGCTGTTCCTAACGCCTAGTGACAAAGCTAGCTACATTTCTGAGGACCCTTAGCTACTTTCTGTAGAACTTTCTTCTTGATATTTCCTGCAAATTAGCAACAAAATAGCCATTTTCGCTCCGAACCGTTCTTTGAACGTTGTTTCAGCTGTCATCAAGGATATAAATGTTACAGACACAAAGAACGTCACTGGTGCTTTAGCAATATAGTAAGATGTTGGACTGTCATGCAGAAGACCCCGATTCGATTCTGGTTATTAACGTAGTTAATTTAGAGTTTCTTTTTTACAATAATGCTATATTTTTTTACAGTAAGATGCCCAAATTTTTATTTGAGACTCGCCGAACGGCGGCGAATGATCTGAGCATGCTGGAGGACTGACCCATCATAAACCTTTGTCGGCTGTGCTGAAGAGAAAGGTACAGAACCAAATTATTTAATTAATTAGCTGCGCGTTCTCCTGTCCTCCGGGCCACACACACACACACACACACACACACACACACACACACACACACACACACGAGACTGTCTCAGCTGTTATTTTCGTTAAGGAGTGTGCACGTACAGCATGCACGCCTCGTGCACGAGCCTACTATTGAAGCTGCCGTTACGCTTTTGGCCTGAGGGGGCAATCGCGAGCATAAAAATTCAAAACTCCGTAAAGTCCCTTTAAATCTGCACAGCTTGAAAATATTTTACCGTAATGCTAAAGAACACCGAAATGTTTTTAGCTTGAATTAGAATTAATCATGTCATATTTCATTAAATAACCTTTGATCGAATGAGTCCAACTTTTGGCTGAACATACCTGTTGAACATGGCTGTCATCTGCATAGTACCACTGCTGGTTGACCTTGTGACGTACAAAAGCAGTGTAGTGTCCAAACGCAGCGCAGCCACAGTGCACTACCACCGCATACAGAGTGTACTTGCACTCTTTCTGAGAGGGCACATACATTTTTAGACAAAAGTTTCAACATCCAGACACACAAAAGAGGAAAATAAAGTTACCTGAGAAAAGCTTGCAGAGAATGCTTCTATGAGAATCTCAGAGAAGTCAACGTTCTCTGGGAAAGTAACCGTACACTCCAGTTTTTGGGTCGAACCTCTCCTGTTTCTGAAGCGTTTCAACTGGATGCACAAGATTTGAGGCAGGGAGTTGAGTTTAAGACCCTGAAAAAACAAATTTCAGAGGTTATTAGAGTTATTCAGAGTAAGGGCTCCAAAGCGCTTTATACTACAGTGTAGGGTTGTCACGGTAACCGGTGTAGCAGTAAACCCTGGTAAAAAAGTTGACAATAATAATAACCGTCTTGTTTTTTAAAAAAATACATTATCTCGATGGATTACCGTGGCTGCGGTGTAGGCGCGGTGACCCTTACCAGCCACCGTATCATCTGCTGAAGTTGCGGCGGCACATGTGCACTTTGTTGTTTACAACCAAAACTTTCTTGAACCTAAAGCTAAAATAATGGCCAAAGGAGGAGACGGCAGCGCTCAGGATATTTTTTATCCCTCAAAGAAGACAAAGTGGGAAGTACGGGCATCTTTTTGGATATTTGAAGAATGCCGAGGGACAGCTGATAGAAGACGGCTATCCTGCTTGCAGCACGAGCAGAAAAAGTGTCTGTGAAAGGCAGCAACACTTCAAATCTCATGTCACATCTGCGTGACCATCACCCACAACTCTACAGTCAACGCAAGGCAAGCTAACGTTAGCGTTTTAGCTAAAATGCGTGATCCGAGGATTTGGGTTGAGGGAGAAAGCAACGAGTCGCTATATAAAGCAGCCGCAGTGCCGCTACCTGCATATAAACCGTGTCGCAGACACCCCCATGTTGAAATGACGCTATGCATTACGGGGCTCCCAGGGGCAGATGAGAGTTGGTCTCTCTCCGAGAATAATTATGAATTCAACAATGATTACTGCCTGATGACATTTTCCCACATCTGCAAAGCTCACTGGAAGGACACAAACCGAGGACAATATTTTCCTGATATAGGGTTTATTACTCAAGTAAGGGTCAAAAAAGTATCTGATTAGAAGGCTACTTGAGTACTGACTATCATCTGATCTAATATTTTTAAAATGATGACATCAAACAGACAAAAAATAAGAAGTTATGGGCAAATATCGGTATTTTAAAGGGGAAAAATGTAAACAAACAACATAATTACAAAATAACAAATTTTGGGCAAAATTTAGACACAAACTGAGGACAATATTTTCCTGACATACAGGGTTTATTTAGTTGTCTGAAAATGTAACACGTTAAAAAAAATACTGCGATAATACCGAAAACCGTGATAGTTTTGGTCACAATAACCGTGAGATTAAATTTTCACACCGTGACAACCCTACTACAGTGTATCATTCATCCATTCACAAACACATTCACACACTGATGGTGATGAGCTACGATGAAGCCACAACTGCCCTGGGGCGCACTGACAGAGGTGAGGCTGCCGACCACCGCCAGCAGGCAAGGTAGGTTAAATGTCTTGCCCAAGGACACAACAGCAGAATTCTCTGTCCTGAGCCGGGATCTATCCTGCAACCTTCCGATTACTGGACAACCCGCTCAACCTGTTGAGCTACTGCTACCCAATGTCTTTCCTGCATAGCAGTCAGGGTCTGTGATCGAGATGGTGAGTTCAAAGCCTAACTTGTTGGCAGATTAACAACTTTAATAAATGCATAAATTATTTGGCTGTTGAAGTTGGGGACCAACCCTCACCTGTCTGGATGGGTTCCTGGTCTCACAATGTGTACAATAGCAGCTGTTGGTCCCCCTCAGCTCCTGATGCTCAAAAAACGAAGCCATGCAATTTTCCTGGAAAAGTTCAGAGCTAGAGCTGATAGAAGCCTGAGGATCTTGCTGAACTTTGAAGTTTCAGTCTTTGTGAGTCTGAAATTCCTCGTTTTGAAATTAAACTCACCAGAGAGTTTTCATCTTCTTTTATGTGTAAAGGCAGGCTGAGCAGGAAGCTGCTCCGAGTTTGAACCAAGTCACACTCCAAGCACCGCAGCTGCGTCTCCACTGAGATCTTGTACAGATTCTCAATTTCAAGAGCCTGAAAGAGAAATGTTTTAGTGTTTGGTATGTTATGGTATTGTTGCAGCTTCCTAATAGGAAAAATATTGACAAACACCCAATAAATAAAGGAATAAATAAAAAAAACATCTGAGAACACCAACCAGAACTCTGTCGTCCATCTGCTGCCGAACTAAGCCCAGAATGGAGAGGAAAATCTCATCTGCGTCGTGCTGAATGTTTACTGCAACACAAGGCTGTCAGAAGCTGCAATCAATCAGAAAAGTTTGCTTAGTAAAGTTTTTTTGTTTTTACATCTGATGGAGTTTCTGTCCAGGCAGTGGAGGAAGTCGCGATGTGGAGCAGGTTGAGTTGCGTCGCTCTGCATGGCCGTGAGTACTTTCTTCAGCTGCAGGGGGATGTTACAATCATCTGCTCCTGAACCAGCCACTTGCCACCTGGTCAAATTCACAAACACAGTTTTCTCTTCAGCACCTGACATGCAATCATTTACAGTATTTCCAGGTGGAAAATATTATGAATCTGCTACACCTGAAAGTGGTTTTAATATTGTGCGTTTTTATCACGGTGTCGAACACTCAATCAATACATTTGCATGTGGTCTCTAGTAGTATTACTCTGAGAAACATCACATGGACACTATCAAGAGTCTGTCTGAACCCTTTTAACCCACAAGTCTTTATTCTGACAGCATTTTCTCCACCGTGCTCATCTACCTGCCGTGCTCACCGACGCTTCTGTTTGGGTGGTTCGTGTGCATGCTCTGGACCTGCGTTAAAGTCCCGCCTCCTAGTTTGACAGCAACAGGCAGCTTTCTCCACGCATTTTATGCAAAATTGAAACTCGAAATGCGAGACTGCCAATAATGCGGTGCATAAGTCTCAATTTGCTAGATGTGTGAAAAGTAATGGTAATGCTATCTGCACAAAGCGGGACGTCTGGTCACCCTAATGATGCGAACGTGGGTGACGTGTGGATCAAGGGTGCAAAAGGGGCTTGATCCACTTCTGCACTTGAGAATCGGGACACCCTATGCACTGGGAGGGCGGGTATTGGGACTGGGCCTCAGACAGCAGATTTTTGAGTTTTATTTCCTGATATTTGGACATCTCGCCTCAGACTAGATAACAGCAACACAACTCTACCACTGACTCTGTTTACTTTGCAAGGCTGATGTTTTATCTCCACAAATAAGACAAGCGTTGAAGAGTTTTTCTGTGTGGTGTTGTTGCTAATGCTAACAGCTAGCTTCTACTAGTTGAGAAGTCCTCTGCTGTTTCCTGGACGTTAAACCAACAACAACCTTCCCCGTCGTGAGTCAAGATGGGCGAGTCCATAAACGTAGGTGACAGCGTGACGTAGATCTGTCAGGATTTTCAAATTCTAGAGTTTCACCATCTATTTTGTGTCAGAACCTAACGCAGGTGGAGGAGACTGTTTTCATGTTCAGCCTGCATGAAAACCTTAGAGACCGATTATAATCAGAAATAATCGTTCAAATGTTTTTCAGTATTCCACACCTTCAGATGCATTTTAAGGATTAGATTACTCAATGTGCTTACTTTTCTAGAATCACTGCTAGTTCCCAGGTAGCAGCAAGCGTCTGCAGCATAGAGTTCACACAGCAGGACAGACGGTAGTTAGTTAGGCCTCTCATTCCTGTAACAGACCAACAGGACACGTTTACAATGATGACTTCATCTATTAAGAGACAAAAACTACCCCCAAGCATAATACCTGGTTGTAGCACCCCTGGTGGTAATGTGGTGGTAAACCTTAACCCTGAAGCAGACCCAACACAGACCATCACACCACCACCACCATGTCTGACTGCTGCTGTGAATCACGACCTCTGACCTTAACCTTAATCAAGTGAGGCCCCACAGACTCAGGCATTCTGATAATTGTTCTTCAGTGTGGGACCTCATGTTGTCAGACAGGTTCTAGTGATGTCACACTTGTACAGGTCAAATTCAAATTCAAATCTTTATTTGAACATGTAAAAAAACACAAACAACAAAGCAAAAAAAAAAGTACAATGTAGAATTCAAAGAGACTAATAAGTACCTCAAAACAAACAGAAAAAAACCGAGCAGTCACAACTAATAACCTTCATGTTCAAAAAGGAGCAGGAAGAAGCATAAGCTTATTTAATCCCACCCCTTTTCCATTATCTAGTAATAAATAGATATACCTACATATACACATACATATATGTTTCTATCTACATACATGCACATACACACCTATTCACAATTTCAGTAACCCCAGTAACACTTCATAGTATACACAACCTACAGATATATATACACATACCATCATACCCGTGCCCCTGCAAAAAAAAGAAAGAAAAAATAAAAATAAATTCTCAACGAGAACACCCTATCAAGTCTCTACCTCCTCCCTGTACCCTGCAAAAACCATATCCTTAAACCGCTTTATAAACTGCACCATGCTCGGACATTGCTTCATATCTTTACCTAGTCTGTTCCACAGCTTCACTCCACAAACAGAGATGCAAAAACTTTTTAATGTTGTTCGGATACAAGGATGTTGTAAAATTAACTCCCCTCTCAAATTATATCCACGCTCCCTTATAGTAAACAGTTTTAGAATATTGTCAGGAAGCAATTTATTTATTGCTTTATACATAATTTGAGCAGTGAGAAAATGAACTAGATCTGTGAATTTTAGAATTTTAGCTTTTAAGAATAGAGGATTCGTATGATCTCTATAACCAGTTTTATGGATTATCCGTATTGCCCTTTTTTGTAATATAAAGATTGATGATAGCGAACATTTGTAGGTATTGCCCCAAACCTCTGCACAGTAATGGAAATACGGTGCAATCAGGGAACAATAGAGAATGTGGAGTGCTTTGTGGTCCAGAATGTTTTTTTACTTTACTTAAGATTGAAACACTTCTTGAAATTTTGTTACATATATGATTCATATGAGATTTCCAGTTTAGTTTATCATCTAAAATCACACCAAGAAACTTATGTTCAAGTACTCTTTCAATCGGATCTAGTTGTGACAAGTGAAACAAAACCTGGCCTTCCGAAATATGTTAATAATCACGTGGTTATTTGTGGTTAGCAAGAGCCAGGTTAGTTTGAATAGCTTTTTTCTTTCATAAAAAAAATCATAATTTTGTAAACTACAATTTGTATTCACTAAAGTTATTTCAAGGAGCGAACACTTTCCAAAAACAAATATTACTACATAAAACATGTTTTTAACTTTGAACTAGAAAAATTCCCCACTACATAATCTATTTTTATCAATTGCAAAATAAGCCTGATATTTGTGATGGCTCACTGTTTATTTCCTATAACATAGCCAATTTTAAATAACAACGGATTTATTTAAGAATGCAGAAAGTAACTAGAATTCAGAGTGAAATTGACAAAACCGTCTGTAATAACTTACAGAACCTGGTTCCTGCATCATAAAAATAGTAAACAGATTAAATAAAGCTTCCAAGAGGATTTACTTACTGAGCTGTATGTGTCTCAGAGATGCCCACCGCGGTGACAGATACCCACAGAACATCTGGGAAGAGTTCGAGAAGATCAGTTGATCCACACCTGATGTTCCTGGTTCAGATCAGATGAGCACCTGGGCTACAGCTGATCCAACAGTAAACATCCTCCCATCTGCCTAGCTTTCGTTTCTGTTCGCTTTACTGAAATCGAAACCTAACATCAACTAGCCATATCATTATGACCACAGAACAACCCTCTTAAAATGATGCGAGGAAGAGAAAAACAAGCAAAACTTAAAACATGAAGCCTAGATAAATGTTATATATATATATATATATATATATCACATTCTACTAGTAAATAATTAAAGGTACGTATATTCGGGACTCTTATTGTGAAGGACTGGCGGAAGTTGAGTTCTGCTTTGGACGCTAATTGAGCAGCAGGGCAGAGTTCAAATCTTTGATTGTAGTCAATTCAAGTATTTTAAAAATAAGTTTATTTCACTTAAAAAGCACACAAGCCTTCGTTTTAAGAGAGAGCTTCAAAATATGGTGCAAACATATTTCTCCGCATTGGTTTGATCAGTTGAAGAAGTTTAGAAATGAAGATGGATGAACTCAGGGGAAAACAATTTATTTCTAACCAATTTCTTGTTAAGCATTCAATTGCTTGTAGTCGGGTCATTTAATATATACGTCATTCAAGTATATATAAAAGGGCTGATTACCATTATAAACAGAGAGGATATTTATACTCTTTATAATTAATTGATATGTGTGTTATTGGTCATCTGGATGGAAACAGGATAGGAGAACTCAATTGTTGGAAGTTATTTTCGCCCCCTTGTGGTCACAAGTTGTTACTACAACCTTCACAAAGCAGACTCATCCAAATAAAACACGCACTCTCTATTGGACGCTCCTATAGAGAAACCTTACATAAACAAGCGCGTGTACACACACAGGTGCTCACATGGTGCTCTCAAAAATATGGGCTTGGGCACGTTCAACACTTGTCTCAAGGCTGTCGTTGCCACTAAATGCACTGTGATTTATTATCGTGTGATTGTTCAGTTAAACGATGTTGATTTTATATTTCATCATCAGGTTAACGCAGTGATAGCTTGCTCTTGATGTATTGTTGTGTGTCCCATTTTTTTCTGCTCTTCTCTTTCTGCAGGTCTAGAAGCAGACTCTTGTCCATTTTTGTTTATTTTTGTGGAAAATGTATGTTCAGGTTCAGGAGTGCATGGAGGCTCTGCTCTGTGAAAGTGAACTACATCTAAAACATGTTACGTCTCGAATGAAAGATCCCAGTTTTTGTAAGTCTGAATCAGTACCCCGAAATGTTATGGACATTCAAGAGCTTACAGGAAAACTAAGTTTATTAAAGGACAGTTTTAAAAACTGTCATCAGCTCATTGAGAATTTACAGAAAAGTAAAAACTCAGGCGCTCAGATTATTCAGAAGCTCACAACTGAGCTGACTCTTATGGATTTAAATTTTGAAATCTTAGATTAACCATTTGTAAGTTCACTACATTATTTAGCTGTCGTCCAGATTTCAGATTTAATGATGTCACTGGTTTCATTAGTCACAGCTGGAAAAAAAATATAAGCTGCTCGAACATTTAAAGGTAAGACTTCATTCAAAGCATGAGGAAATTGAAAAAGTCAGAGATAAAGTGAGTTCAATACTGTGTAAAGTTACTGGAAATGCACAGGGCAGTCCAGCGCCACAAACATCTAGTTTCCTGGGAAGAGCAAACAAATACGTCTGTGCTGGTCTTACCGTCTCTGCATTAGTAGGTGTGGGTTTTTTCGTACTGTCCAAAAGAAAATAGTTCAACTGCTGTCACCCCTGATTGAAGTCTTGCTCCATCCAAACGTCCTGTCTCAAAGAGAAGTGACTGAGAGACCAACACAGCATCGTTTATGCACAACGTGCGTTCGTACACTTTCCCCCTATAGGTACATGTTTCTGCTTTTTGGCTTAAACCAGGGGTGAGGAACCCTGGTCCATCGAGGGCCGCATCAAGCCCATTTTAGTTTCAACCCTCAACACACCTGATTAGAATCAGCATGTGATTAACAGGCTTCTGCAGAGGTTGATGGGCTGCTGAACAGGTGAATCCACATGCAGGACAGCGGCCCTCGGGTCTCACACGCCTGACTTCAACCTTGGTCGGAGGTATTTAGGTTCAATGTTATTTGGCTTTCCGCAACATGACGGGAGCTAAGCTGTAGGTTTTAGGGTTCATACTGTTTGAAATGCTTCTTTACTTGTATCTAATATTGGTTCACACCGCACATCTTCTGAAATTATTCTGCAATTACCGCAGATGGAGCGTCAACACGCTTAGTTATTCAAGACATGGTGGCAACCTGTCTATCTGTTAGTTTATCAATTTATATAGGAATCAGGAATCCTGGGGACTCCGACATATTTATTACAAGCATTTCACAGCAACCAGTGTTCACCCGCACAAATGTTACATCAAAACGACCGGCTCGGCCGTGGGATGTGTGGTTTCCCATAAATTCAAAATATCGAAGACAAAATGACTTCATTAATGGGAAATCTTCAAAACAGTGATGAATGCCTTGAATATTTACAGAAAAGTAAAATGTTACTAGATAGGAAATTTGAACATGCCACAAACTCCTCCAGCTGACCCCATTTCCCAGCATTCTCGCCTCCACTTCCCAACATTCCCGCCACCAACGTGGCCGCCTACGTCATCACGCCGACACTATAAAAGGAAGTGCCGGCTTTCATTCATTACTCTGTCATCCTGTCAAGTTCGGTGGCAGAGCTGGAGCGTGGCTGAGAAGATCTGTTGCCCAGACGCGGAGTGATGGAAATAGCCAGTGTGGTTATATCCTTTAGGTCAGGTTTGAAGGTTTGAGGGCTGGTAAGCCTGGAAACTCGATACAAAGCCTGGTGAGAACGATGACAGAACAACAGACAGCTGAACTGAAGTCATTAGTTAAAAAACAATTTTATCTAATTTTATCCATTTTACACCATTATTTCAATTCAATTCAATTCAATTCAAGTTTATTTATATAGCGCCAAATCACGACAAGAGTCGTCTCAAGGCACTTCACATAATAAACATTCCAATTCACTTTCTTTTGCATTATGCAAATAATTGGGCAGGAATCATAAAAATGTCCAACCGATGAAAATTCCTACTTTTTGAGTTATAATTGGTTTTGGTAGTCCAAACGGTCTGGGGGTAGTAAAAGGTTGTTCACAGAAGATGTGAAGTTCAAAAGTTAGAGTGCGGAATCTTCAGTTTAGAGTGGTGAGAGACATTTTTTTAAATTTGAATTTTCTCAAACAAATGAACCGTACGACCACAATGTTTGGAGTACAGTCATGAATTATAGCTCAAAACGAACGTATATTCGTTAGCTGTAAGCCAACATGTGTCTCATTTCAATCTGACCTACGGTTCTCTCGGGACAACGCCAGAAATGGAGCAAGGGATGGTCACTACTCCTATCCTTCCCCTTTATAATTTTGTGAATTTTTCTGAAATTTCAAGTCGTACCGCAACTTCTACCTGTGATTTTAGAAAATCTGTAAAAGATATCAAAAAGCCTCTTTAAAACGTTAAACAGGAAAGTCTTGTGAGTTTGTTAAACTTTGAATGAAGTCTCTAAGTTAAAAGAAACCCAATAGAGTTTTAGGTCAAAAAAGTGATAGGAATTTGCTGAAAATTGACCAATCCCATTCATTTCAATGGGAAATTTGTCACAGAAAAAGCTTAATAACTCGATAAATTTTAAAGATAACAATGCCAAAAGCAACAACCGGAAAGAATGTAACGAGCTGAACGTTTTGATATAAAATTGTTGAAATAGTAAAACATTTGAAGGACTTGAAAAGGTTCAAAAAGTGTACGGAAGAAGAAGAAGAAGACAGGAGAAGGAGACAGAAGAAGGAGAAGGAGACAGAAGAAAGAGAAAGGTGACAGAAGAAAAAGGAGAAAAATGAGAAAGGAGAAAGAAAAAGGAGAAAGAAAAGGGAGAAAAATGAGAAAGGAGAAAGAAGAAAGGAGAAAAAGAAGAAAGAAGAAAGGAGAAAAAGAAGAAAGGAGAAAAAGGAGAAAAAAGAAAGGAGAAAAAGAAGAAGACAATAGTTTGAATGCATTCAAACAATAAATATTGGAATTCCGGACATTATTAGAATCACGTAATACATCTATTTTATTATCTATGTTAAACTAAATTTAAAAAACGAGCTAAAGCAGGAGCTTTTTAGCCCGGCAAGCCCACCTATATATGTGAATATATTAGCTTTGTAAAGAATTTGGTCTAGTTCATTAGGCTAGGACCTTTTAGCAGCTAGATGCAATTAGCCTACGAACGTATCAGATTATACATTCTCTAGCGGCAACGGGGCGAAACTACAGCCACTGTGTTTTTCTTTATATAAAAAGTCAAATAAATATATTCAGCTATACATTTTTACCAGCATTACTTTGTAATTTCTAATCAAAGGTATCGGGCATAAGTTATTATTTTTTAAAGGTACAAATTATATAGGAAACACATTTCTGAATTTCACAATGAATGTTTAAATGGTTAAAAGTAAATACATAATAAAATAAAACTAAATAATTTTTCTATTAATAAAATAGGTCATACATATATTTGGTACCCAATTTAATCAGTGTAGTTTGTAATTTGTAATCAAACATGTCAGAACTATACATTATTAGTTCTAGACCAACAAATACCCAACATCTATACCCCCCCTCCCACACACACACATCCACACACACAATAAAAGATCATTTTTAAAAGGTATATATTTTTCATTTAAACAGGAAAAATACTAATGTATTCGGATTTCACGATAAATTTATGGTTGAATAAAGAGCATGTCTTTGCAGCAGTCACTGTTCAGGCTTAAAAAATTTTACTTATAAAACCAAAGCTATTTGCTATAACGATATAATAATATTTTAAACTTAATGTTTTATTTTATTTAAAAAGATTGCAAGAAGATGCATAAAAACAGCTGTTTTGTTGGATTTAAAGATTTAGCTCAGCCTTTTAATCACCTGCTGATTAAAATCAGGTATGATAGAGCAGGGAAGCAACGAAAACAAGTCGTGAATGACTTTGTTCACCAATAAGGCATTAAAACCGCCCACGTGTAGATGAGAATGTTTTCATATATGCATACAAACAATACATGCCTAAAGTAGGAGACACATATCAGCAGGTTTGACCAAATAATAGTCATAAAAATTAAGAGGTACAAGAAAGTACAAGACTGAAATAGAAATATCTTTGATGATGATGCAACTAGCACTTTAGAAAAAAACAAAAGCAATAATCATTAGTAGAATATTCTTTTTAGTTGAATTTTATTATAACTGTAAATGCAAGTATGATCAAAAACATATTATTCTAAAGCCATTTTATCTAAAACCAAAAGCAGGCTAAGCATAAATATTAATGTGAATTATAATAAAATCATTAAAAGGGTGAGTTCGGGGTTAACCTCGAACTGTGTGAATGCTTTGTTAGTGCAGGTTGTTGTCTTTATGTTTGTGTGTGCTTTTGTGCAAGTGTAAATAAATGTAGGTGTCATGCATGTGCTCGTCTCTGCATGTAAGTTTATATCTGTACAATTACTGGAATTAGGTTTGATGACACAGCCTTATGTAAATAGACTCTGGATTCCAGATCCTAAAGAGATTGGTTTTACTTCTAAATCACTTCCCGTATTGACTACTGCAACTCTCTTCTCTTCGGTCTTCCTCACAAATCCCTCCATAAACTCCAACTTCTCCAGAACTTGGCAGCCCGCATCATTACCAGAACTCCCTCCTTCAACCACATCACCCCTGTTCTTCAGCAGCTCCACTGGCTCCCAGTCACTTCCAGAATCCAATTCAAAATTCTGCTGTATACATTCAAAGCCATCCATAACCTAGCTCCCCCGTACCTCTCAGACCTCCTTCATCCTTCAACCTCCACCCGTTCCCTCAGGTCCTCCTCCTCCATCCACCTCTCTGTCCCACCTTTCTGTCTGGTCACTATGGGGAGCAGGGCCTTCAGTCGCTCTGCTCCCCAGATCTGGAACTCACTCCCTCCTGACCTCCGTAACATTGATTCCCTCACTCTCTTTAAAACCAGACTCAAAACCCACCCGTTCCGTCTAGCATTCCAATAGTTACTCTTTGCTCCAATCCGTCTGTTTGTTTTATGCTGTTCTATCTTTTATTTTTGTGTATTTTATCTCCGTCTGTAACGTGTCGAGTGTTTAGAAGGGCACTGTTGAAATAAAATGTATTATTATTAAATTGGTAACCAACATCTTTAAAAGACAAGAAAATAAGAACAATCCATGCATGGCGTTTATTTTTTATTGAGGTTAAGGCCACATCAGTAACCCTGGGTTATCATTCATGATGCAATATGTGTTTTGTTCTAGACCAACCGAAGCAACACCCCTCACCCCTCTGTGGAGGACCAGCCAATGAGAAGCAGCCTTCTCTTATTGGCTGTGACTATTTTCTACTCTAAACTGGATTTGTGACTTAAAACCAGAGAAATCCTGATGTCTGGATTTACGGATAGGTCAGTGAAGTAAATGTGAGTTTATGAACAGGTAAGTCGATTAACCGGTGACTACAAACCAGGTAATAAAATATGTTGGTGGGGAAATAAAGTCACAGCTAATATAATAGTTGAAGAGAGAATAAAAGTGGCTTTTAACAGATTTGAGAGAATTACATGAATTAATCAAACACATTACAACAGTGTCTTTTACAAGCCTTTGCTCTACGTGAGAGCTTGATAATATGGTGCAAACATGCTTCTCCACATCTGCCTGATCAGCGTAAGAAGTTTAGAAATCCACATGAATGAAGATGGATGGGCTGAAGGGAAAAACACAGATTACTCTTGTTAAACATTATAAAGGAAATAAGTATGACTATGAAAATTTCATCCAACCTGGATCCAGTCGGAGGAAAAGCATGTAGAGAAGAACAGCTGCAAGGAAAACTTTCCGGAGAGGAAATGAGCCTAAGCCGGTCAGTAAGCATTTTCTATGCAAAAACCTCAGCATGGCTTCCAGTTTACGCATTACAGTACCTGCAGAACACAATCATTAAGACAGTTATGATTATGTCATATATTATTATACACACAGGAAGAACAGGGCTGAACTATTAGACCTCGAGTAGAAGCAGGACGTGCCGCAGCGTCCGAGTCTGGAGGGCTCCTGGGATTTAAAAACAATTCCTCATTTTGTCGTGTTTTTTCCTCCACAACATCCAGCGCAGTTTGTCTCTGGTCTTCTGTGAATGCAGTCCTACCAACGTCACCTGAAATGAGCTCCCTTGCTTCCTCTAAATGTCCAAGAGGCAGAAGAATGTGCAGCAGATAAAGCTCTGCGACAGTACGAAAACCTGCCGCGTTGCCGTTTGAGGAGCAGTGTAACCAAACTCTGGTTGCCTCCTGCATCACAGCAGGCTCGCCCACCTTGGAGAAAAGGAGAATGCTGCAAAAAGTAGAGAACATTATAATTTCTGATTATGTCTTGGGGGGGGGGGGGGGGGGGGTCAAAGTTTAACATATTTTCTCCTCTTTATGATCATGTGTACACTAAGAAGTTTTTTCAGATGGAGTATGTGGATGGCTGCTGCTGTTGTGCCCTTGGGCAAGGCACTTCATCTGCCTTTCCTGCCAATAGAGCTCCGGACCCCACGTGACTCTCAGTAAGTGGACGCCATTTTGGCATACAAAAAAGGTAAACAAACACGGATGTAACCATGAACATGAACGGGATCCGCTTGGATTTTACTTCGTCGGAGTTTACTTCACACTTTAAAACAGAAGAAATCGTTTTATATAGTCAGAAATTAAATAGACTAAACATCTCCGACCCTTACCGTGCCCCTGGGATACTTTTTAAAAACGCCAGAAGCTGTCGGAGCGGACTTCTTACCGGCACAACACCGGACCTGACCGGGGAACCCCTTGGGATTCCCCCGGAGGAGCTGGCTCCAGCGGCTGGGGAGAGGGAAGTCACGCTACTGCCCCCGCAACCCGACTCCGGATACACGGATGAAAATGGATGGATGGACGGACAAATAACAGATTTACACGTAAGTAGTCTCGGTGTGTGATCTGACAATTGATCAACCATTGCTTAAAAATTAAATACAGCTTAGCCGGTTAATTGCTGTGATCATAAAACACGTAAACGGCAGCATGCAGAACTCACGAGGCAACGTTTTACGTGATGTTTACTTGTTGCTATGAGTAATAAGACAGAAAAAGCCACGCCAAAATAAGTTTAGGAAGCCCACTAAGAATCATAATAAAAGCATTTAAAATAAATACCATACACAGTTGAGGAAACGTTGGTTTAAGTACCTGATATGAAGCGGTCGCTGCATAAGCGAAAACCTTTACTCTCGGGATCCCACAGCTTCATTTTCGCCTGGTCACTAGCACGTTTTATTACAATGATCCAACGTTTGCGGCGCTCCGGATCTTGGGGAATCCTGTAGATGACTCATTCCTTATGTCGTCCGCGTCTGTTCTGCATCCTGGGGCACAACAGGAATCTACCATATTTCCCGTTTGATTGAGTTTTCTGACAATAACAAATAGTCCAGCTGCCGGCTTCTGCATGCCAATATGGCGCCGTTTCGATTTGAACTGTTGCATGCCGGGAAAAGTGACGTCAACTCCCGGAGCTCTATGGTGCAACATAGTGGCCTAGTCTCGCTGTCAAATTGTCTCAGGGTGGCTGTGGCTGGTATGCAGTTTACCATCACCACCACAATGGGAATGAATGATAAATCATCTGGACTCGAAAAGCACCTTTCAGATTCAGAGGACTCCAAAGTGCTTTACACTGCAGTCAGTTAATCACCAATTCACACACTGATGGTGAAAACCTACATTCTAGCCACAGCTGCCCTGAGGCACACTGAGAGACGGACAAAGACTGGGTTTGAACCGGTAACACACTGGTTACAGGGAAACTGACCCCTGACCCACCGTCACCCCAGCGTGTGAATGAATGAGTGAATATGATGGATTATCTTTAAAGTGTTTTGGGTCCTTGGGTCTAATCCATTAATATTAATTTGTGTTGTGTTTGAACTCATTTGAACTGAATGCAGGGCTTGTTATATAATCACAAATAACTAATTTATGATTCTATTCACATTTTTCAGTCAAAAGGTTTGGGATTTTACGGTTTTCATACTATTCAACATATCTAGGCAAGTGTGCTCTCTCTCTCTCTCACCATGTCTGCATTATCTTTGCAGGTATGATTTCCAGGTGCTCATATTGCTGCAGAACCCAGGAGAAGACACCATGCCACTGATTAAGCTCAGCCAGCGCCTGAACACCCAACATGCAGAAAGCGGCCTTTAACTCTTCACATCTGTAGAAGGAAAACGCACAACACAGGCTATTAAACTCAAATTTAACAACACAAAAAAGCAGCTGTGAAGTGATTTGATGTCACCAACCTGTTCTCCTCCAACTCCATGCACGCGAGACTCTCCAAACCTCTGTTGCACGTGCCTAAAGCAGCGTGGAAGTCTCTGTGGACCATCATGAGCTCTGCAGCCGAGTCCAACATGTTAAACATCTGAGATAAGGAGGGCGGCGGAGGGCTAAAATCCGAACCAAAGCTGCCGTTTGAGCAGCTGCTCATGACACCAGAAGACATTTAAGAAAATAAATTTAAAATATATTTATGATACTATGTCAGTCTACGTCGGTAATATCGCAGATGCTACCGAACAAACTCTCATTATTTTATTTACACAAGATGACCGGAACTTCCTGGATTTTGATCACCAGCCAATCAGATGTCACAATCTTCAGATCGTCCTTAACAGCCAATCACGTCACGGCTTCTTTACTGTACACACGTGCACGGAGCAACGCGTTCTAAGCTAAAACGTTGAGCTATTTGTGAGTAACACTTTGTTGTTATCAAATCATAATATCATATCAAATCATACGCGTGTTATATTACTGTGTGATGTTTGGGAGCGTTTAACGCGGGTTTTCACTGCCGTAACAAGTAGAGTGGGGAAATATTTACTGTAGCGTTTAGCTAGCTAGCGTAGTTTTAACGGGTTTAAATGGCAGCTTAAAGTTTAAATAGTAAATTTTTAAACTAATAACAATGTATTGCATTTAATTTACTCTTGTCGTACTGTATTTAGTCCAAATGTATTGTGTTTAGACTCGACCTAAGCACATTCAAACACTGTTTTCTTAGCATATTTGCTTTTAATTTAGTAGACTGGTTTCAAATAAACGTTCATCTATCACCTAAAAAACTTCGAAATAACTTTTAAAAAGTTATTAAGTTATTTTAAGGAATTACAAGCAAGTTGGGTTTATTTGAAGTTAAATATGAACAAATGAGATGAATGGAGAGTAAAATAACACATTACTATGAAAAGACACTCACAAGTGTTTAAAAGCAGGTTGAATGTACGAGGCAAACAAACGTAAGTGGCCCGTAATCTGAGACCATGTTGAGAACCTCTGTTATTTTCCAGCTGGGAGAAAGTTATCATTTAACCAGAGTTTAGTAGATTCCATACACCTCTATCTGATGGAAAACTCAATGACGGATGAGTGTTAAAATCTGAATATAATCAGTATAGTAGTGATTGGGTTGTATAATAGAAGCAGGTGATGGACAAATAAAATCATGACTAGAATAGAACCCTGTGGAACGTCGTACATAAGAGCTTCTGATGCCAATTTAAAATTGAATTGAACTGCAAACTCAGTACAGCAGTAAATCACGAGGACTAAAACAGAAACAGAGAGGCTTGATCAATATTTTGGTGTTACTTGATTAATTCTATACAAATGTTTAACTTCGTTTTTTTCTTGTTTTTCTAAAGCATCTTTAAAAATGGCTAAAAGCCTCAGGAGCAAATGGAAGCGTAAAATGCGAGCGGAGAAGAGAAAGAAAAATGCTCCTAAGGAGCTTGCTCGACTCAAACAAGCTCTGAATTTGGACAAGAAAGGAGAGGCCGAAATGGCTGACTTACAGGACATCGCCACAGTGGTGCCGGCTGACAAGATAAAGAAGATAGATGTTGAAATGGAGGAAGAAAAGGAGGATGGTGAGGAATGGTGGTTATTTCTTACGTTTTTGTGGATTGTAACAATGTTTTTATTTATTTTTTGCTTCATACCTGCTTGCTTTCTTAAGCTCTTCCTTTCATTTATGTTTCAGATGGGAAGATGGACATGGACAAGACACGAAACAAGAAAACTCTGTTGGATGAACATGGACAGTATCCTGCGTGGATGAGTCAGCGGCAAGCCAAGAAGATGAAAGCTAAACGTGTGGCCAAGAAAACTGGCAAGGTCAAGCAGAAGAAGGGTATTGCCTGGTAACACCCGTGCTTTGTTTCAGACTCTTATAAACGGAAGTACATCTTCTTTCGTAGCAGACTCAACGGCTCATGGTCGCACAACAGAGCCTGAAATTTCCCAGTTTGCCGAAGAAATGTTTGTCCTTAAAAAATGTTGGCTCTAATTTGAGCTCAGAGGAAGCCTTGTAAACATAAATCTTATCAGTGTCAAGTGGCACAATGTCTTAGATGAGGAGATGCGTTTCCTGATTTAATAAATGATTCCAGGTCCTTCAGCTTGTTCTGTTTGTGGAAGTGTTTTATTTTCACATTTGTTATGTCTGATAACAATTTAACACCTGCAAAAGTTTGAAGTTGACATCATATTAATGCAGTTCAGTCCATTAATAATGTTATAATCTTTGTTGAAATGCTTTGTAATTAGATGATTGCACTTAATATTCTAGGCAGGAAATGTGTAAAAAGATGTAATCATCAGATAATTTGTTGTACAAATACAGAGTTGAATCATTTCCTTATTATATAAACAAACCAAAGTTTAAGGGAAGCGTGTGCAAAACCACTAGTAGCTTTCTACTTCAGCTGGACGTACGCGGCTGGGAACAGACCAACACGGCCATGACACATCCCCTTCCACCAGCCTTCGTCAATCATCTCGATGTCGGTGATGATGTCATCCGGATTAAAGGAGATCTCATCATCCGCCTCTGTACGGATAATTAAACCAGATTTAGCTAAAAGGTGCAGTAAGCTAACTATCCAGGATGAACACAGAACTGGTCTTACCTCCTTCGTAGTCGTAAATTGCAACTGCCTCCTGTCTTAGTGACAAATTCTCGTAATCGTCGTCCACAACTAAAACCGAAAAGCTTGTAAGATTTTTTTTTTTACTTAAATATGAAAATCTAATGACTCAGAAGCGGACCTGCTGATTCTGGCTGAAGTGGTCCACCCAGATCCTCATAGATTCCATCAGCGTTGTACACCTCTTCAGCCGGTGGAGATGGAGCATCCAGATCATCTGAGCATGGAGGCAAATCTGATTCGTTGTCATACAACTGTTCCTCCTGTGTGGTTTATATCAGAATTAAATATTAAGAGGCAGATTATATCAATTAAAAAAAAATAGTACTGAGCATTCCTAATTTTAGCTTTAAATGGGAGACATCCAACATCTTTTGAACAAATTGTTGTTTTTTGATGTTCGTGTCTCACCTCTGGCTCTGGCTCAGGTATTTCCTGTATCTCTGGCATGTGGTAGAGAATCTCAGGTGCTGGGATGTCATACTCTGGTTCCTCTACAACAGGTGGAGGCTGAAAATCCTCTTTTCTGCCGTCCTGTTCCTTTAAAAAGCAGCAGCAACACATCAGACATGTGTACGACTCTTGTGTTCATGTTTTTATTTTCACGGTGGTACCTGCTGTCTGCGCTCGGCCTCTTCCTGCTCTCGTCTCTCTCTGGCTTGTCTTCTCGCTTTTTCTTCCTCTGCTTTCTTCCAGTTCTCTTCATCTGAAGTCTTGGCCATGTTCTCAAATCTTGCCTTCAGTTTCCCAGTGCCTGCACTTGCTGCAGAAAACACAGACATATTATTTATATATAATACATATTATATACATAATATGTGCTGTGTAAATATATATATACATATATATATATATATATATGTATATATATATATATATATATATATATATATATATATATATATATATATATATATTTACACAGCACATTATTAACAATTTGAACATTTCTTAAGTGTGTTCATTGAGCTTACAGGCTTCCACCGGTTTAGTCTTTTCATAAGCAGATGTGGGGGCGTCCACTTCTGAGAAGCCTGCTGCACTCTGGAGGACCACATTGAAAAGTTTGTTTATTTAAAATATTTTATATGTTAATTGTGTTCACCTGTGGCCACGAGCTTTGGGTAGTGACCGAAAGAACGAGATCGCAGATACAAGCAGCTAAAATGAGTTTTCTCTGCAGGGTGGCTGAGCTCTCCCTTAGAGATAGGGTGAGAAGCTCGGTCATCTGGGAGGGGCTCGGAGTAGACCCGCTGCTCCTCCGCATCGAAAGGGGCAAGTTGAGGTCGCTCGGGCATCTGGTTAGGATGCCCGCTGGACGATGGTGAGGTTTTCCGGACACGTCCGTTTGAAAGTAGACCCAGGACACGCGGGAGGGATTATGTCTCTCGGCTGGCCAGGGAACACCCTGGGATTGCCCCGGAGGAGCTGGTGTAAGTTCCTGGAGAGGGGGAAGTCTGGGCCTCTCTGCTTAGGCTGTTGCCCATCGACCCGACTCCGGACAAGTGAAGGAAAATAATTGGATGGATAATTGTGTTCAATCAGGAGGTATTCTTATTAGAATTAAAACACAATCTAAAACCAGACATCCTCAATGGATGCAAGCTCCAACTTTTATTTTTTTAAGGCGACAAATTTAATTTGGGTACCATTTTACCATAAAGCTCCCCTTTATAAGTGACTTTAATAGTTTATAGACGAGTAAACATTTAATCTGTAACATTATAAATAATAAATTAGTGGTGATTATACATTAACTAAAGGTAATGAAGAGACAAACTGACCAGACTTGAGAAACATTTCATACCAAGTTACCTTGTAAACACAACGAGTATTTAAACTGAATGTTTTGCATAAACTATTTTATTACTGCATTATAAATATCCACAAATACCAAAGGGAGCCTTAACGTAAACTGTAAAAGATTTACTATTACATCATTATATATTTATTATTACATCACAATTTATTAAGAACTATTAATAGATTGCAGTTGCGTGGCAGTTTTATGCTATAAAGAACAGGTTTGGCTCACGATTTACCAAGAGCTTAGCCACTTTAACGTCTTTCTTGCACTTAATACAGAATAAACACCCATAAATAATTTTTTAAGTGTTCACAACATATATATAAATGATGTATTAGCCATTTATATGGGATGCCTCATTGTAAAGTGATACCAAAATGTTATTATAGTTAGATAAGATAAATTAAAGTTTCAGCTTGCATTCCTGGAGGATGCCAGGTTTCTGGATGAATTTAAAATAATTTCTCTAAAATAATTACCCCCTATTGTAAAGTGGAACAGATGATCTCATAACTGCAAAGAAAGTAATTTCACATACCAGTTTTATTAAATTTTATTACTGAAGAACACAGAAAAAAGTAATTTTACATCAAAAATAAAGTGTCTCCTTTAAAAACTATCTAACTTTTATTATTCTTCAGAATAAATAGAAAAATTTAGTCCAAATTTCACAAATAATGAAAAGACAAGAGGAAAGAATTGAACTATCGATACTGACCTTATCCATGCGGTCTGTCTGTACTCCATAACGACCTCCAAAGCCTGTTGAGTAATCTAAACACAAGGCGGTTTAATCTGTCTGATGAACATGAGTCCTCTAATGTTTCAGATTAAACACCTTATGAGGATTAACTCACCTTTTTGAGACTGATGTTTCTCTGTATCGCCTTTATAATCGTATCCCAGGGCCGATTTATCCACTTTCTCCTTCTCAACGCCATACTTCCCACCAAATCCCTTTGAGTAATCTGAACATGGAAAAGTGCGTGAAAAAAAAATCGTCCAGTAAAGAAAGCAAATGCGAGTTAATGAAAAGCACCTTTCTGCGATTGATGCTTCTCTGTTTCTCCTCTGTAGTCGTAGCCCACAGCAGCTTTGTCCACCTTCTCCTTCTCCACACCATACTTTCCTCCAAATCCCTTGGCATAATCTGGTAAACGAAATGTATATATATACACACTCACCTAAAGGATTATTGGGAACCCCACACTAATACGGTGTTTGACCCCCTTTCGTCTTCAGAACTGCCTTAATTCTACGTGGCGTTGATTCAACAAGGTGCTGAAAGCATTCTTTAGAAATGTTGGCCCATATGGACAGGATAGCATCTTGCAGTTGATGGAGATCTGTGGGATGCACATCCAGGGCACGAAGCTCCCGTTCCACCACATCCCAAAGACGCTCTATCGGGTTGAGATCTGGTGACTGTGGGGCCGTTGCAGAACAGTGAACTCATCGTCATGTTCAAGAAACCAATTTGAAATGATTGGAGCTTTATGACATGGTGCATTATCCTGCTGGAAGTAGCCACGAGTGGATGGGCACATGGTGGTCATGAAGGGATGGACATGGTCAGAAACCATGCTCAGGTAGCCTGTGGCATTTAAATGGTGCCCAGTTGGCACTAAGGGGCCTAAAGTGTGCCAAGAAAACATCCCCCACACCGTTACACCACCACCAGCAGCCTTCACACAAGGCATGATGGATCCATGTTCTCATTCTGGCTCTACCATTTGAATGTCTCAACAGAAATGGAGACTCATCAGACCAGGCAACATTTTTCCAGTCTTAAACTGTCCATTGTTGGTGAGCTGGTGCAAATTGTAGCCTCTTTTTCCTATTTGTAGTGGAGATGAGTGGTACCCGGTGGGGTCTTCTGCTGTTGTCATACATCCGCCTCAAGGTTGTGCATCTTGTGGCTTCACAAATGCTTTCCTGCGTTCCTCGGTTGTAACGAGTGGTTATTCCAGTCAAAGTTGCTCTTCTATCAGCTTGAATCAGACAGCCCTTTCTCCTCTGACCTCTAGCATCAACAAGGCATTTTCGCCCACATGACTGCTGCATACAGGATGTTTTCCATTTGCACACCATTCTTTGTAACCCCTAGAAATGGTTGTATGTGAAAATCCCAGTAACTGTGCAGATTGTGAAATACTCAGTCAGGCACCAACAGCCATGCCACGCTCTAAATTGCTGAAATCACCTTTTTTTCCCCATTCTGACCTTCAGTTTGGAGTTCAGGAGATTGTCTTGACCAGGACCACACCCCTAAATGCACCGAAGCTACTGCCATGTGATTGGTTGATAATTTAATTGCATTAAGGAGAAGTTGAACAGGTGTTACCAATAATCCTATAGGGGAGTGTGTGTATGTATGTATATATATATATATATATATATATATACATATATACATATGCGTTAGCATAAAAACTTTGAGTGCTACTGTTAAACTCACCTTTTTGGGACTGATGCTTCTCTGTCTCGCCTTTATATTCATAACCCAACGCTGCCTTGTCCACCCTTTCCTTCTCAACACCATACTTTCCCCCAAATCCCTTCGCGTAATCTAAAACAATTGAAGAAAGTTTTAAAAATGTTGTCACCTTGACGATTGTGCATGAGCAGCTGGACAGAACAGTAAACCGACCTTTCTGAGAGGCGTGCTGCTGCACTTCTCCCTTGTACTCGAAGCCCATGGCTGACTGCAGGAATAAAGTTTTGTTTATCAGTAAGGACACTTGATACAACAAATGTGAGTGTAAAGAAGATTTTAAGTCCTCTTTTTTCTTGGACAGGGACATTTTTGTAAACGTACCATCTCCCGCAGAAAACAGACGGGGAAAATCGGAGGACGGAGAAAAAAGAGCCTTCAAGGACGGCGACAGGGAATTATTGAGGAGTATATAGAAGCAACTGAAGATCAAGATCAGAGACAGCAAGGAGGCATACAGGAAGAAGCTGGAGAACAAACTACAGAGGAACAATATCAGAGATGTCTGGTCAGGGATGAAGAAGATCATTGAAGAAGAAGGATTGCACAGATGGCACCCTGGACACAGCCAGTGAACTGAACAAGTTCTTCAATAGGTTCAGTTCAGGAACAAACCCAGCATCCTCCTCGCCTGTCCCCAGCCAATCAGACATCCCATCCTCCTCTGATCCAACATTTTCCTGTCACACCCCAGCTCTTTAATCCTCTAACGCAGTCATGGACTCTTCTGGTTCTATAAATTTCTCTTCAACCAAGTCAGGAGATACTGCTGCCCCATTTACCTCCCCCTCCCACCTATCTGTCTCTAGAAGTCGGGTGAAGAGGCAGCTGGAGAGACTGAACAGGAACATGGCTACAGGTCCAGATGGTGTCAGCCCCAGAGTACTGAAGGCTTGTGCGGAGCAGCTCTGTGGGATTTTGCAGCACCTCTTCAACCTCAGCCTGGCCCAGGAGAAGGTTCCAGTCCTGTGGAAGGCGTCCTGCCTTGTTCCAGTTCCAAAGAAAACTCGCCCATCAGTCAGTGACGACTACAGACCGGTTGCCCTGACATTCCACATCATGAAGGTCCTGGAGAGACTCCTGTTTATCCGCCTGAATAAGCAAACTAGGACATGTCAGGACCCGCTGCAGTTTGCTTATTGCCATGGAGTTGGAGTTGAAGATGCCATCATCCAGCTGCTTCAACCAACCCACTGTCACCTGGACAAAGCAGGCAGCGCTGTGAGGGTCATGTTCTTTGATTTCTCCAGTGCATTTAACACAATCCAGCCTGGTGTACTTTGCCAGAAACTCCAGAAGACACAGGTGGGGGCCTCAACTATCGCCTGGATTAAAGACTACCTGACAAACAGACCACAGTTTGTGAGGCTGAAGAACTGCACATCAAACCAGGCGATCAGTAACATTGGAGCACCACAGGGGACTGTACTCTCACCATTCCTTTTCACCCTGTACACCTCAGACTTCCAGTACAAATCAGAGACCTGTCATCTACAGAAATACTCAGATGACTCTGCAGTTGTCGGGTGTATCAGAGATGGACAGGAAGCTGAGTACAGAGAGCTGGTGGAGAGCTTTGTGGCATGGTGTGGAAACAATCATCTGACCTTGAATGTGAACAAAACAAAGGAGATGATTTTAGACTTCAGAAGAAACAGGGTGGAGTCAAACACTGTTTCCATCATGGGAGAAGAAGTGGAGGTGGTTGAGGAATACAAAAACCTTGGAGTTCACCTGGACAACAGACTGGACTGGAGAAAGAACAGCGAAGCTGTTTACAAGAAGGGACACAACAGACTGTTCTCCGTTTGTTAGCCGTTTAGCTAGCTGAGCAAGGATACACGGGAGGTATCTTGTAGCCCGGTCTTGGTCAAAATTTTCCCAGAATACAGCGCAATATTTTCAAATGGATGGCAGATCAGGAGCCAGCAGCTACTTCGGGGGCAAATTTCAAGTTAAAATGTAAGTCAACTAATTATCGGGCTGAAATCTGAAATGTTTTTCTTAGATCCAAAACAGTTATCTGTGGTTGGTTAGTTGCTTAGTAGTTGCAGCTTCAGTGGTCAGCAGGTAACTCACTAACATATTTAATTTAACAAACATATACACCAGGGATTCCCTAAGTGAGCTGCCGCTAGGGGGTGTGCGAGGTGAAAAGTCTAATAACGGCTGCGGAGTAGTGATGTGTCTGTCGGTCGCGAACGAACCGGCTCTAAGAGCCGGCTCTATGAAGTGAATGATGGGAGCCGTCACCCTTCCTCCCCTCCCCCTCTTGCTTTCACCAAAGCAAGGTCAACAAGTGTAACTGTGTGTCCAGACTGTCCACACACAGAGCAGTAGGGGCGGGGAAGAGGGAGGATCAGACTCAGACACACAGCAGAGCACATGCAGGTGGAGGGAAATGAGAGGGAATGAGGAGGAGGAAAAGGGCGAGCGAGGGAAAGTGCGTCGAAGACGGTGAGAAAATGAGCGACAGCAGTTGGAAAGTTGAGATTTCTTAAAGTGTTCAGTAAATAAATCCATATAAATGATAAGTATTTGATATGTAGCATTTTTTCACATTAGTATATAATTTTACATATAGTTATGCATTATTTTTGGTATTAAATATACTTAACGCAACAGAAAATCTGAGGAGCCACTTGGGAGCTGAAAGAGCCGGCTCTTTTTGGTGAGCTGAGCCAAAAGAATCGGGGACCATATTACCCCTGTACTGGTACATCTTCACTGGCTTCCTGTCATTTTCAGAGTGCAGTTTAAGTTACTGACCTTTGCATTTAAAGCTCTCAATGACCTGGCACCTCCCTATCTCTCTGACCTGCTCACTCCATATGTGCCCACGCGCACGTTGAGGTCGGCTGACCTTTTGCTGCTGTGCACACCGCAGATGCGATTCAAATCGCGGGGTGAACGAGCATTTGTCCATGCTGCCCCAAAGCTATGGAACTCATTGCCCACTGGAGTTCGGCAGGCTCCATCTCTGGCATGCTATGCTATGCTATATATATATATATATATATATATATATATATATATATATATATATATATATATATATATATATATAGCCATGCCCTGATGTGGGGCTGGGGGGTGCGTCGACATAGTCGGGACATAGAAGGGGGTGCGCGGCTAAATAAGTTAGGGAACCACAATTTGAATACACAATTTGAAAAGTAAATATATTTATATTGAAACTCATAGGTATAAAATATAACCTTATCTCCTGTGTCACGTGGCGTTACAGTGACCTCCGCGGAAGCCGTGGTCGCCTGGTGCAAGTCTGGGCCATTTAACCATTTTCTTTGACCAAGGAAGGACAATGTCCTCGTAAGCAAGGCGCCTGGCCTCGCAGGACATCTCCTTGCGAGGCCAGGCGCCTTGACATTGAGAAACATCCTAAGATTTAATAAACAGCTTGTGCGTACTTACCTTATCAACGCGGTCTTTTTGAACACCAAACTTCCCCCCAAATCCCTTTGCCATGTCTTTCTGAGAGGAGTGCTGCTCAACTTGAGCCACATATTCATGACCCACGGCCTCCTGGAAAGGTTTTCAGTGAAACGTGAAAAACTGGTGTCACATTTCAGCTTTTAGTCATGTTTCAGCTACAAAAGGAGAACGACCTACCGACCTTGTCCATTCTGTCTTTCTCCACTCCAAACTTCCCTCCATACCCGTACGAAGCTTTAGGGGTTTCATCCTTCTGCTTCACCTGCTCGTGTTCCTCGGCGACTTTATTTCTGAGCTCAGCAACACTGCAACAATAAAACATTCAGAGTAACATAATTGTACACACAGAACATAAAAAAATGTATTTAGAAGATAAACATGATAGTTTTTTGTCCGTTGTTTTCTCATTTGTCCTGAGTGACAAGCATGCCATGTTGGGATTTATATATTTTTTAAATTATATTGACAGATTTTGACGCAAATAAATTTGTACGATTCCTAAAAAGCAAAAATATTGTATTAAAATGTGGTTTGATTAAAAAAAACAAGTTTCAAAATCAGAAAAAATTATTAAAAACAAAATACAGTTTTTAAATCTGTGATTTTATTTATTTCACTTTGGGGGGAAAAGCTATGAAAAGCAACACGGCCTTCTGCAAACAATGTAATCAACTCCTATACCTGGTTGTGACATCATGATAACTGCTAATGAGTCCCACACTGTAGCAGAAATTAATCTTTAGGGGCGACGGTGGCACAGGAGTTAAGTGTTCGCCCCGTAATCGGAAGGTTGCAGGTTCGAGCCTCGCTCAGTCTGTCGCTGTCGTTGTGTCCTTGGGCAAGACACTTAACCCACATTGCCTGCTGGTGGTGGTTGGAGGGACCGGTGGCGCCAGTGCTCAGCAGCCTCGCCTCTGTCAGTGCGCCCCAGAGCAGCTGTGGCTACATCGTAGCTCATCACCACCAGTGAGTGAATGTGTGTGTGAATGAGTGAATGACTGATTATGTTGTAAAGCGCCTTGAGGGGTTCCATGACTCTAGAAGGTGCTATATCAAATACAGGCCATTTACCATTCAAATACAGGCCATCTTGCTCATTTTTATATAATAGATTAAATTCAGCCACATCTGAGGATTTTCCAGCATAAACAGCCTGTGTAAGGTCAAAGGTCAGACATTCTCCTTCATGGTTCTATCACCTACATTAAATGGTCCAGACTATTACACTACTACCACCGTGCTTGACTGTTAGCATGATGCTTTGTGTTATTTTACTGCAGATGGAACAGGACACACACAAAAAGTTCCTTAATTTTCTCGTTAGTCTAAAGAATATTTTCCAAAAATCTTGGGGATAACTGACATCTTATATGTAGACACCCTGTGGACTGGCGTTGCCTTTTGGAGCTGGCATGGCAGTGGGCCACCATCTTGGATGGGTTCCCATTTGCCCCAAGTGACTATATTTGTAGTGAGGAAGGTGTTTACCCAACTAAAAACACATTTTGTTATGCTTTTTCACAACATCAGACATATGGTATGGCATGATCGTTAAAAATATGATAAAATAAATTAAAATATAAAGTCCCAACATGTAGGCTAGAATAGTCAATAGTAATCCCTGTGGTCTGTTTTCAATAGTACCCCGGCTGTTGCAGCTGTAGGCTGCATAAAAAACGCTGTAATGCTCTCCAGCGCCCAATGGCGCATTTACGTATTCATGCATGGAACTCTCCCATGACATCAGTTTGTCCCTCTAGTTAATATTGACCTCTGACCTTAACCACATGACGCCTACAGAGCTTAAGATGTTTTTTTTCCTCAGACTGGGGCATGAACTGTTGCTTTTTGAGATCATTTGGCCTGTTTTTGTCAGACAGCAATTGTTGATGAGGTTTCTGCAGTACTCAGGTGTGGGTGGAGCTGAACTCAGCTTTCTATGTAAATAATAAAAGTTATTCATGATTCAACAAGGACCAGGTTGGTTTGGATACCCTTTATGTCCTTAATAAATGAAAATCATAATTTAAAATTTTTGCATTTACTCAGCTTATCTTCATCTCAAACTGAAATTATTTGCTGATCTCAGATACTTAAGCCTGATGGTAGAACTCTACTAAACCCCTTGTTGGACTGGACTTTAGTGGTATTTTAACCTACCCCCCATTAAGAGTCACCATCACTGTTACCCATATAAGGAGCGACTTGCTGTCTGAAAGCACGCGTTCTGCTCTGACTTCCTCTTCCTGTTGCCACACATCACCTACTCAAATCTGAATTCATTCCTGTTTTCATGAAAAAACTTGTTCCTCATCTTCTCACCTGATGTGTTCTTTGCGTCCAGAGCCCTCGATGGTTTTTGCTCCCCATCGCTGCTCCTGTTCCGACACATCATTCTGAAACAAACAGATCAGACGGGTTTAACCAAAGAGCACCCCACCACAAACGTGCACAGTGAGATGTGCTCCAGGAAGTATCCAGCACCACAAAGTCAGGGTCTGTCTCCCAGTCATCCCCTTCTGCAGCAGCCACCTTCACGCTCACATTGTGGCCCACGACTGACTTCCACATCTGGAAAACAAGACAACTCTCTAGATCAGATTAATAATAGAAGCTTTGATAAGAACAATTAAATGTTGCTGTGTCTGTGAAGATGTGTCTTTTGTTTTTATCTGAGGACAAAGCGAAAATAACCACAAACAATTTTTACTGAAGTGCTAAAGGGGAAGTTTATGTCAGCATGAAACTTGATTTGGGCTGGACTAAGCACATTTAAGAGCCTCAAGTCAAAGTTCAAGTGATTGCTATAAGGACTTGTGTCTGGAATAAAGTTTTAATATTAAAACAGACTCTGATTTAGAACAATTAAAGAAAAATGTGCACTTTGCACCTGTTTAAATGAACTAAATCAAGAACGATTAATTGTTTGCAAATAAAACCTAGTTCATCAAGTTTTCATAATCCATGCCAAAGATGTGTGTTTTATTCAAACAAAGTTGTTAGTTTTAATTATTACACTAAAGATGATGGGTTAAGCATTGCAAACATCAGACACAAAGTTGTTAGGACAAAATGTTACTATAATGACCTTCTAGAAATATTTCACTCAATTTAAAGCAACTTGGATTTAAATTGTGCCTTAAATAACAATTTATGAAGTTGTCTCAATGTAACGGGACTAGATCTACTTCCTTAATAAACGAAAAGTCCAATACAATAGAAACAAAAAGCAGCACTTTGAGTTATTTAATTAAAAATGGAAAGGAAATAGCATTACCTCTTTATGTGGTGCAGAAAATCCGATCAACAACGATCAAATCTAGAAAAAAAATCCTCAAATAAGTGTGACTGTCTAGTGAGTGACGCGTGAACGCGGACTGAACGAACGGGAGCGCGCGTTTATAAATAAATACCGTTTTTAAGTTACATTTTTACATTTATGTTGTAATTAATCACATATAACAAATAGTTACACGTGTATGCAGATATTTGGGTCTATTTTAGTTTTTAAAAAATTCTAACTTCTAGAAAACGCAGAGATGGTGCATTCAAGTACCCTCGGAAAAAATAGAAATAAGGAAAAGATGCAAAACGCTTTTGAGTTTCCCCATTCCCCCTAGAGACAGTCGTTTTAAATGCGTGTGCGTGCGTGAATAATACAGCTGAATGGTAGAAAGCACCTTTGGGTGCCTTGAAAATCGCTATAGCCTATTATTTAATACATCTGTGGGATCAGATTGAAAAAATGCGATTTAAAATATGTAATGAACTTTTAACACTGGAGGGCAGTGTTAAACTCTAAGAGCCCTTAAAAACACTTTTGCTACAAAAATGTTATCTCCACGTTCTTGATAAAAGGTCAGGGCTTATCGTAAAAGCACGCAAAACATTTGTTCATTAAACGTGTTAATGTTTATTTTTACAAACATGTGCAGGGTAACAACACATAAAGGTGTGATTCTGTGCTAAAATCCAGCAGCTTTACAGATTTCAAACACAAATCCAATCCCGGTTAAAAATCCCTTTATTAAAGGACATGAACACAACAAGTGTGTCTGCAGTAACAGCTGGTTTTACATGAACCAGTAACTGAATAAATGCACATGAAAATGGAAATCATCGCAGATGCTTTTCAACCAACTAAAGGTGTGATGAATATAACAGGCTGACTCCCCCATGTGTCTTAATCACACAAACACATAAATAGTGTTTTTGTCTGAATCAAAGATCCTGACACTAATTAAGATGTAAACAATAGACAGAAGGTGTAAGATCCCTGGTCCAAACCAACAACACTTCTAATTACAGTGTGTTCTTATGTACAGCCCTTTTATCAGTTATTTACAAAGAGTGAATCATTTTGAACGAGGAAGTGAAAACATTAGTGGATGTGCAAAACCCAGTGTTGTTAATAAGAGAATGACATTGGCGCATATAGAGGTGGTGGATAGTTTAACAGGTTCCCCTGGAGAATAAATTATGCTACATCCGCTTTAATGGGATGGAGGTGGACAGAAAACCGAGTCACCTGGGATTTAGTAACGTTGCACATGAAAATAAATGTGGCTTTAAATCAAAAACACATTTAGATGTGGACAGACTCTACCACATCCAGCTGACATACTCAGTATGAGCGCAAATGTGAAAATATTGTCCTCCTTTAAAAAGAAAAAGCAAGTTTGAGTAAGAGGAAAGTAAAAGCAACCCGATGATATGAGGAATGTTTAAGTACATAAAGCTGATCTGTGCTCCATTTTTGTGCCTAAAAGCAGATTAGAAGACTGAACCGTCGCCGTACGACCGCTGGAGACACACGTGAAATATTTCTGCATAAAGACTCGCCGGCTTCCTGAGAACAACCCACCTTTAGTCAACCTCAACACCCTACAGCCACTATAAACAACAAGGTACGATTCTCCATGGTAGACTTGTGATATTTTACAGGTTGGTTTTAATTTCTGCTGACCTAGCAAAGACACTACATTTAGCATGATGCTAACGCTGCGGAAGATCAGTTTTACTCTTTAGATTTGAAATCACAAAGCTATAATGTGTTGATTGGCATTTAGTGTTAGTGTTATGCACACTTCCTCCTTTCATCAGCTTTAATATGAATGTGACTGTGTGAGAATACATCTAAAGGCACATGTAGAACCCCATCAGTCAGAAACACTTTAATATAAACCTACATTTCCCTCCAAACCACTGGTTCAATGAAAAATATTCAAATGGCATTCCTTTAAGTCCCTTCTGCTTGAAAATGCACAGTGAAGACGCCTTCTCAACTGGAGATTTAAAACAAAATCAACCATTTTCTACAAAAATCCCACACTTTGGCTCATCTCTAAAGTGCAATGTTCGCATCCTTTTCCAGCCTCCTAATATTTATTAAGCAATAGAAATCATACTAATGGCTCGGGCTAGGCGTGCGTCATGTTTACGTTTTCTTCATCTCCCCGTCGATAGACTGAGCTGGTTTTACAGGTATCCACCGAGGCACAGGAGCAGCAGCACGTGCACTGTGAGCAGATAGAGGCTGAGCAGCAGAGGGGTTCGCTGACGGGAGCAGAAAGCCACTCGGAGCATCCGCATCAAACTCGGACCGCCTCTTCGAGTCTGAGAGCCGAACAAACAAACAAACAAAAAAACCACACACAGGGATATGAAAAACATTCCGCTCACGCGTCTATTATTACTACAGGAGTCAAGATGACAGATGAGGAGGTGCGGAACATTAGTGGAGCCTCACCCGAGTGACGGCTCCTTCAGGCGGCTCGATAAATACAGCGGTCTCCGAGGAATCCCCCTCGTGTGCGGAGTGCCAAGTAGTCTGGCTGTGACTGAGAGGAATAATAAAAATAAATAAATAAATTATTATTAGATGCTTCCTTTTGTTGACAGGACAAATATATCAGAGCTGGAGGGAAAGAAAAACCAGATAAATTATTAGTAAGTAAGTAAGTGAAACTTTATTATACAGCACTTTTCACAGATAAAAATCACAAAGTGCTGCACAACATCCATAAAAAGGCAAAACAGGACAGGAGCACAAGGTCAACTTACATAAAAGCTTGCCTAAATAAGTGTCTTCAGCTGCTTTTTAAAAGAATCAACAGTCGGCCACACGAAGAAACAAGGGCAGGGCGTTCCAAAGTCTGGGAGCTACAGCTTGAAAGGACAGGTCCCCTCTAGTTTTAAATCTGGTCTTAGGGACCTTCAGTAGGTTTTGACCCGAGGACCGTAGAGTGCGGCCAGAAGAGTGAGGGATTAAAAGGTCTGATAAATATTGTGGAGCTTGTCCATTAAGAGCTCTAAAGGTCAAAACTAAAATTTTAAAATCAATTCTAAACTTGACCGGTAGCCAACGTAAAGAAGATAAAACCGGTGTTATGTGAGCCCTTCTATTGGTTCCTGTTAAAAGCCTTGCTGCAGCGTTCTGGACCAGCTGGAGACGACTGACATCTGATTTGTTAAAACAAGTAAAGATAGAATTACAATAATCTAAACGAGAAGAAATAAAAGCATGGATAATCATCTCCAAGTCCGATTTTGAAGTAAAAGCTCTCAATTTGGAAATGTTTCGCAGATGATAAAAGCAGTTCTTTACTAAAAGTTGAGTGGCAGCTCAAAGACATGGACTGGTCAAAAAGAACAGTTTCTGAGACTGGTCTGGGCTGAGGAGCTCAGGGAACCGAGGTGTTGTTTGATTAAAAGCACTTTCTGTTCAGGAGCAATGATCAGTGTTTCAGTCTTGCTTGAGTTCAACTGAAGACAGTTACTGGCTAGCCAGTCCTTAATACACTCAATGCAATCAAGTAGATCAGCTAGCTTGTTAAACTCTGTGTCCTTGAAAGAGCAGTACAGTTGAATGTCATCCGCGTATAAATGGTAAGACACATTAGTAAAGCTTTTGATAATCTCCCCAAGAGGGCAAATATATAAAAGAAACAAAATTGGGCCAAGGACCGAGCCCTGGGAAACACCGTGAAGCAAAGATGTGACTTCAGACCTAATCTTGTTTACACATAAAGAGAATGTTCTGTTATTTAAATAGGAAGAAAACCACTTCAGAACCGTACCAGAAAATCCTAAGTCATTGTGTAGTCGATGTAACAGAATTTTATGGTCAACCGTGTCAAAAGCTGAAGACAAATCCAATAAAACCAGTGCAGTATACTGGCCAGAGTATCAGTACATCATTAGATACCTTTAACAGAGCTGTTTCAGTGGAATGCATCTTACGAAAGCCTGATTGGAACTTATCTAAAACATTATTGAGGTCCAGAAAAGTAGTCAGCTGCCCTGCCACCAACTTCTCCAGAACTTTAGCCAAAAAAGGGAGTTTTGAAATTGGCCTATAGTTGCCAGGTTCCGAATTATTATTATTATATCAGCAGGACAGCGTGCTGCAAATGATCCCCAAAAGTAAGAGTCAACGGTCAGCTGATCTCCAGCTGGGCTTCTCAAACTCCCACACACACAAGTGCACTACTTTTTAAATGAAGTTTAAAAACACGTTAAAAGGTCTGAGTGACCGCAACGTTTTACTGAATTGTTGAGTTAAAAACAGTTTTCAGGTAAAGATTTCTATTAAAAAAGAAAAGATGGCCACCAAGACCAAAAATCTGCTCATGAGTTGTGTTTAAAAAGTGTGTAAATCAAAGCTCCAGGGAGGTTGTTTTCTTCCATTTGGAACTGGTGACGACAGGAAACCTTTAGTTGCTAAAATAATGCAAACACCAAAAAAAAAAAAAAGAAAGTTTAATTCTGACCAGATTTACGAGCTAAGCCAGCCTGTGTGAACTCACAAAGGGGAAAAATCTCTCATCTCAGAACGATTTTCATGAACATGATTTTATAAAACTTTGACGCCTCCTTCTACTCCCTGTTCCACTCCTCCTACTACACCAGACGGCTGCTGCCGTTGGTGCAGAATCAGATTTCTTTAGTCTCGTACCGTTTGAGTCGATCCTGCGTCGCCATCAGCTGCTCCTCCACCACCAGCCTCTGCTGAGTTTCTTCCTCCAGCCTGATTTATGGAAATTAAAATCAGTATTTATTTTGTCACATAAACATTTGATTTGATCCAAAGCTTACCTCTGCTGCAACTCTTTGACCTCAGCTATGTAGGCAAAGCTGCCTCGCTCCTGTGGAGCTCCAGGAGCACCGTCCAGCTCCTCCGTGCCCTGTGGGCAGATTTAGAGGATTTATGATAAATGTGACATCCTTAATATGGAAGGATGCACGATTTAGTTTGAATTAGACTTTACATATATATATATATATATATATATAAAATAAATAAAACTTGTGACGTAAAGGTGGTAGTCCTACTTCTCTCTGCAAGCGTTGCGGCTGGAGTTTGGGTTTCTGAGCTCGAGCTTCTTCCAGCATGGAGGTGAGCTGCCACAGTTGCTGGTCCTTCTCTGTGAGTGTGGCGAGCGTCTGCTGTTTCAGCTGTTCAGCTTGAGCCATCCAGTCCACCTGCTCCAACCTAAGTAAACCAAAATATCACAAACGACAGCTTGAAGGGGACTTAAACAGTTTAGAATTTAAAACGAGGTCTGAAGAGTCACCTCAGTGTCTCCACTTCCCGTTTGCCCATCTCTACTGCGTTCTCCAGCTGTGTTAGAACACCCAGCAGGTCTTTGTTCTTCGTCTTCTCCTCAAACAGCTCCTTGCTGACTTTGATCAGCTCTCCTGCCCCCAGTCGAGCCAGCTCAGACTTGTGCTTCTTCAGCTCAGCAGTTTGGGTTTCGAATTGCTCCAGCTGCACAAAAGGAAAGGAACATGAGGGAAAGATGAGATACGATCCTCCTAATGCCAAATCAATAGCATCTGCTGCTGGTGTCTAACCAGTCTCTCCCGGTCGTTCTGCAGAGCTTGTAGGGCATTCTTCAGGCCCCACACCTCCCCGGTCGACCCCCCTGGGCTGCTGTGGGCTGCTTGGCCACCTGCCTGGCTCGTCTCCAGTTTCAGGCTCAGTTCCCTGACCTTGTGTAGCGCCTGATCCCTGTTGTCCTGGAGGGAAGCCATAGCTTTAGAAAACGACAGATTCTCTGCTCTCAGGTGCTTTGTCGTCTCCGTCTCCTGCAGTAGCCTCTGTTCAACAGTCAGGAGGTCCCGGGCCAGCTCTGCCACCCTCTCCTGAGCGCTCTCGGACTCTGTGCGCATCACGCCACCCTCCCATCGTAGCTCAGCTAGCTCTTTGCTCTGGCTTTCCTGCTCATGTCTCTCCCTGCTTAGGCGCTCCTCCAGAGCTTCTTTTTCAGCCCTCTCCTTCTGCAGCTGCTCCCTCAGCTTCTCCACTTCTGCACCAGGAGCATCCGTCGCCTGCGCGGCCGACCCGACGTTAGAAGCTCGACTCAGACTCTCGTTCTCCACTCGCTGTCCCGTCTCTTCCTGTCTGGCTCTGCTCAGGCTCTTTAACTGACTCTCCAACTCCTCGTGTTCCTTCTCCAACGACGCGATGCGCTCTCTCTGGGCTGCCAGAAGTCGTTTGTGTTGGGAGTCCTTCATGCTTAGAACCTGGTTGAGTTCGTCTCGGTACCCGTGAAGCTGAGCAGACAGTTTGGCCTTTTCAGCATAAAGGTCATCCCTCTGGACCAGCAGAGCGCGCAGCTCCCCTTTCAGACTGTTGTTCTCTCCTGCCGCCTCTTGAATCAAACCATCCTTCTCCAAGATTACCTGAGACGCAACACGAGAGGTCAAAATGAAACTGAATCCTCCCGTTTCACGTGTTCATGTTTACACGTACCTGAATGTGTTTCTCCTCCAGCTGCTTGTACATGTTGAGGACTCGGTCTCTGTCGTCCTGCAGAGAGCCCATCGCCTTCGTGAAAGAGTCCAGCTTGGTTTTCCTGTTGTTGCCCTCCTCTTCGGCCTTCCGTAGTTTTTCTCCCAGATCACACACTTCTGCTCTTCTCTGCTCCAGCTCCTCCTCTGCTCCTTGCGCCCTGCTGTCAGCCTCCTTCCTGGCCTCCTCTGTAGCCTTGGAAAATAAAAACACACAGAGTAAACCCTTTTTAAAGGAATGTTCTGATTTGGCACGTTACGTTTTAAAATTTCAGTAAATTAAAGCTTATAAATACCCGAGCAACCGCATGCTCTATCTCCCCCAGCAGCTCCACTTCTCTCTTCTCCTTTTCATGCAACTCCGTCTGCAAGTTCTCCGTCAAGACCTTGGAGGATCGCAGGTCCGTTTCCAGCTGCTCCACGTTCAGACACAGCCGCCTTTCTTCTGCCTCCCTCTCTCTCAGCTCAGCCCTGGCCTGATCCAATTCACCCTGCAGCCGACCAACGGCCTCCTCCAGAGCCCGGACTCTCTGCAGCTGACTCTCCGCCTCAGTTTTAAGGCTGCGGGCTTCACTTTGAGCAGACAGAAGCTCTGCTGTGGTTTGGTCCAGCTTCATCCTTTCCTGCTCTAAGGCAGCTTGGTTCTCCGTGGCCTTGTTCTCTTTTTCTTCCAATCTCAGCTGCCAATCTTCATCTGCTTTCTGTAGTCTGAAATCAAACATTTATACTAGTTTACGTCTAAAAAAAATGTAATAAGACAATTTCAGAGGAAAGTACTTTTTTTACCCGTTTACTAAAAATTGAAGCTCCTCCTTCAGCGCTGACTCTTTCTGAAGCTGATCTGCCAGTTCTCTGGCCCGAGTTTCAGCCTCACGAACTTCAGCCTCCTTCCCCTGCAGGGTGCTGTTGAAGCGAGACTCCCACTGCCGAGCTTCATCCAGAACTCTGTCCCGGTCATCTTGCAGTGAGGACATGCTGCGCGAAAAGGCAGCTAGCCTGGCTAGAGACTCGTCCAGACGAGCTTTCATCTCCTGGGCTCGCTTTTCCGCCGTTTCTGCCATCTGTCTGGCTTCCAGGGTTGCTTCCTCCTCCTTTTCCCTCTCTGCATCTGCCTCCTCCAGCCTCAGCTCCATCTCCTTCAGCTCAGCTCCCAGTCTGAATCTCACGGAGTCTAGAGTTCGCTCTGCCTCAGCTTTCAGCGTTGCCTCTCTCTGTTGAATGCTCTGTTCGATCGCCATTTTTGCAGCCGAGACTTCCTGTGCCCGTTTGTGGGCCTCGGCCAGTTGGGCTTTACAGCCAACCATCTCTTCTTCAGCTTGTTTGAGGTTGTGTGATGTTTTAGAGTTTTCCTGTTGTGTTTGCTCCAGTTTGCGGCGCAGCTCCTCCTGACCCAGCTGCAGGGCCTTGGCCTCTTTACCCAGTTCGCTGATCCTTTCCTGGTATCGGATACAGTCTTTCTGTAGCTGCCGAACTTCCAGCTGCTTCTCCCTCAGCAGCTCCTCCAGCTGACGCGTTCGGCTTTGGCTGCCTTCTTTCACCCTCTGGGCAGACCTCAGCTGTTGCTCCAGCTCCCGCTGCTTCCCAGACTCTGCTACAGCTTCAGCTCTTTCCCGCCGGGCCTGTCTCATGTCCTCCTCCAGCCTGGCAGCGCGGTCTGTCTCACTCTGAGCCTCGGCCTCCAGCTCGGCCCGTTCCCTCTCCAACCTCTCCACCTCCCGCTGGACTTCAGTCAGCTGTTCCCGGTTGTCGGCCGCTTCCTGCTGGTAGCTCGCAATGCTCCCGTTGAGCTGAGCCAGCTGGTTCATTAGACGCTCCTCCAGGTTATCTTTTTCACTCTCAAGGGATGCGAGGAGTTCCTTGAACTGCGTTTCTCTCTTTGAGGAATCTTCACTTAGACCCTTTTCTCTCTCCTTGCACTCTAGAAGGCACTTCTCGAAGAGACTCGCTCTCTCTTTAGTCTCCTGAAGATCTTGCTTAAGAGAGGCCAGCTCAGCTCGGAGTTCAGCTTCCCGTTCATGCCACAGCTCCTTTTCTGCACCTATCTCTCTCGTTTCCACTAAAGTCTGATCGTTGTCGGTCCGGTCTGCTTCTGCGTGCAGTGAATGTGTTTCTGTTGCTGCAACAATTTGATTTTCCTGGGTTTCTTTTCTCTCAACACGCTCTGTTGTAGTCATAACTGTGTCCGATCGTTGCACGGTAACAACCTCCTCTATGACAGCTGCGTGGTTGAGTGGAGTTTCTGACATTTCCTGGTTTCTTTCCACCGTATGAGTAAGCTGTTCTTTCAGATCTTCGATTTGCTGCTCTAGAGAGTCTCTCTCTGCCTTCGTGGCTTCCAGTTCAGCTTTCAGAGCCCCAGCCTCGTCCTGAAGCCGCTCAGCTTCAGCTTTGAGAGCCGCGTTGTCTCGTTTTGTCACCGACTTCTCCTGCTCCTCTCGGAGCCTCTCGTTCTCCTCCTCCAACTCTAATATTTTCTGCTGCTTTGTTTTGGCAAACTTTCTCATTTTGTCCTTCACTGATTCCACCTCTTTCTGAGCATCCTCTGCCTGACGCTCAGCTTCGTGCCTCACGGCTTCATGACTTCTTACCTTTGCCGCCAGCTCTTGTCTCTCCTGCCGAGCAGCTTCCAGGACTTTCCTCACTCTCTCCGCCTCATCGCTCACGTTCTCGTAGGACTTCAGCAGAGTCTCGTACTCCTCTTTCATCCCCTTCACCTTCTCCTCCCACTCTGCACACACTTTTGCTGCTTCTTCCTTTGCGAGTTCCACTTCTCTCTTACAGGCATCCTTCTCACTGATTATACCCTCCATTGCCAGCTTCAGGCTCTCACATGAGGAGCCTAGACTTTGGTTCTCCAGTAGTGTCTGATCCACCTCCTCTATCAGTCTAACTCGCTCACTTTTCAGGTTCTCCAGCTCTTTTTCTGCAGAGTCTATTTTCTGCTGCAGCCCATCTACGGCCTTCTCAGCCGAAGCCAGCTGATCCTTCAGAGATTTGTTTTCTTTCAAGGCATCTTTGCGAGAAACCAAAGCAGCTTGGAGCTTTCGTTGAAGCTGCTGAACCTTTGCTTTGTCGTCTCCCTCCTGTTTCTGTGGCGACTCGGCCTCCAGCTTCTGCGTTTTTTCCTGCTCCGCCTTCAGCTCCTCTTGTAAAGCAGCAATGAGTTGGTCTTTCTGCGACACGGTGTCGTGCATCGAGCGTATGAGTGAGCTCTGCTCGCCGAGCTGCTGACTGAGCTCCAGGATCTCACGGTTCTTGTCATCGAGAAACTGCCTGAAGTCTTCCACTTCAGCCTGAAGTGCCGTTATGGAGGATTCTGAGGACGTTTTAGATGCAGCCTCCATCTCCGACCTTAACGTTTCAGCGCAAGACTCTGCTTGGTGATACTTTTCTCTTAGATTGTTAATCTCTTCGGAGAGTGTATAAATCTGTTTCTCCTTTTCTCTCAGCGCCTGCAGCTCGTTAACCTTCTCCAGTAACTGAGCCTCCTTCAGCGACAGACTTGCACGCGTTTCGTGTAACTGCTGCTCTAGTTTAGTGTTCGCCTGTCGAACAATCTCGATCTCCTCTCTGAGAGCGTTCGGAGACTCCTCCATCTGTGCAGAGTGGTCGCCCGGCGGCGTAGAGGGATGCGGACCTGGACCGCTGGATCGTGGCTGTGATGAACTGACTTCTGAAGAAACAAAATCCACCCAGTCCTCTTGGACCCAGTCATTCACAGCGGACCTTCCAGTCCCGATTTTAAGTTCTTCTTGAGGAACATTCTCGCTCTCTGAACTAATTTTTATTTCTAGTTCTGCAAGTTTTTCAAGAAGAGCTTCTTTTTCTCCGCTCTGGACCTCATAGCGATCAGTCAGCTCGCCGTATTCCTCTTTCTGCTGCTTCATTTGTTCGCGATGATGTCGGTCTTTTTCTTTGGCTTTACGGATCGTTTCTTTGCGGGACTCTTGAGCCTCATGAAGCTTCTTCTGAAGCGCTTCAATCTCTGCTTCGAGAGAGGAAACCTGAGATTGTAGTGCACTTGCTTCAGGTGACTTTTCAGCCTGCTGAGAGTTTTCAGCTTCTTGTGTTAGCTTTTCATTCAGAGCGAGTGTTTCAGACAGAACTTGATCCTGGTGGTTTATTTTCTCCTCCAGCTTCTGAACGACTTCTTCTTTGGATCTTAAAGCTTCTTTGAGCTCCACAAGTTGAGCCTCCACGTCTTGAGTCTCATGTTCTTTAGATTTTTCTGACTGAGGCTCATCTTCTGGACTCGTTTGACTCTTTTCTCTACGTTCATGAGCCTCTTTCTCAAATTCACCAACCTTCTTCATGAGCTCTTTGCGTTGCACGAGAGCTGCCTGCAGCTTCTTTTTTGTGGTTGTCAGCTGGCTTTCCAGCTCTTCCTTTTCTTTTCGTAAACTAACAAGTTCATCGTCTGGATGATCAGCCGGTTCAGGAGTTGCTGCCTTCGTGTCATCTCTGACTTTCTCAAGCTCCATGATCTGCTCCCTCAGTTTACTGACTTCACTTTTTATTTGAAACTTTTCCTCCTCTGCTTGAAGGAGTTTAGCAGACATGCTGTCATTCAGCTCCCTCACCTCCTCCTCTCTCTGGCTCAGACGAAGATGTAACTCGCTGATCTCGGAGTCCTTCTTGGACATGGATTCATTACTGAGCTCCGAGGTTTGTGAATACTCCAACATGCTGTTTTCCATATCCTGAAACTTCCTCTCCAGCTCAGAGTAGAGCATCTCTCGGTCTTCCAGCTGAGCGCTTAGCATCCGGGCCTCGCTCTCCTGCTCAGACAGAGTCTGCAGTAAAGTCTGGATCTTTTGCTCCTTGCACACTACTTCACCGTTCAAAGCATCAATCTGCTCTTGTTGGAGCTGTGCCTCAACGCCATGCTTCTCTACCATGGAGCTGTTCTGCTGTACACGGTTCTTCACTTCCTCTCTTGCAGACTCCAGCTCCCTGGCAGAGTCACGGGCCTGAGCCTCGGCTTCTTCTCTAGCAACAGCGAGGAACCGTGTTTCTTCCTTCAGGCTCCAGATTTTCTCTTGCGACTCTACTGCTGCATCTTTGAGCCTCTGCACCTCCTCCAGAAGTTCACTGTACCTCTTCTGCAGCTCCTCAGCTAAAGCATGTGCAAAAACTCCTGAAGACATGGTGACATCAGAGGAAGAACTCTGTTGAGTCGAGTGAACCTCAACTGTCTCTCCGATGACGACAGAGGATGATTCACTTTGAACTGTAGAGATTTCCTGCTCCATGCTAGTTGTTACCCACGATTGGCCAAAGTCCTGTGGGACGGAGGGCCACTCCTGACCTCCTTCTTGGTTCACAGCTTCCAGAAGCGTCCAGCTGTTGTGGACCACCTCAGAGTCGCTACTGGTGACCATTTCATCTGAGGATGTTCCTTTGGACTCTTCAGGAGACTCGGACTGGTGTCCAATAAGCTCCGGACTGCTCTCAGCATCAGCAGAAATGGAGAGGACGGAGGTGTCCTCAGCAACCAGTGTGGCCTCTTCTTCTTGTGAATCTTCTATGAAATCAGAGAGAACAGCAGCAGCTTGAGTGGGTGGTGTGATGGAGTCCTGATCCGGTCTCTGAACAAAGTCTTCCTCTGATGACGATGCCCCTCTGGAGCCACCATCTGCAGCCAGTGTCAGAGACTCCTGTAAAGCAGCTAGCTCGTTGTCTCTTTCTAACAACTGATGCTCTAGCATCACCACATCTGCTGCAACAAAAGGAAACAGCAGTCAGCTCATCTTATGTCAACAGGAAATGTAAATATTAAACACTACTTTCATAAAAGAACTATTATTATCATTATCATTTTCCATCCATCCATTGTTTGCCGCTTATCCAGAGTCAGTAGAGCCCTGCACTGAAACCCTAGGCCCTCGGGCCGGGCTTCGGGCCAACGACTGCGTAATTACCTCGGACACGGGCCGGGCGCCTTTATTTTTAATCGAATTCGTAAAAAAAAATTGAAACACTTAAACCAGGGGTCGGCAACCTGTTCCCATCAAAGAGCCATTATTACCCGTTTCCCACAGTAAAGAAAACACTGGGAGCCGCAGCAGCCGCGGCGTTGTGGGCGGGGCCTACCCTCAGACAGCAGAGCGCTGCTCACAACAGGTGACAGCAGCCGGTACCGGTTGCTCGTGTACGTCAAAGTTATCTTTCAAAAGAAGATAATCAATAAAACGATTTATATAAAGTGGATCCAGAAGTTGTAGCCCGTCTCTGCCTACAATATTTTGATATTTTTCACCCTGTTGGTGGTTTTACTGAGCAGGTGCCACTTTTGTCAAGGTTTCTTTTTAAAACATGTTTAGACTGTTCAGAATACAAATCCAGGCTCTGTCACGTTTGACTGTTGTAATTAAGCTTTGTAGGTGGGGAAGGTCAGAAAAGGATCCGATCATTTTGTTTTTCCCTCATTTACAGTGACGGAGATAACAGCGCAGTGCGCCTGGCTCTGGTGTTAATCAAGTTAAATTATATCTATTTTCACAAGAAAACAGAACAGTTAAAAGCAGGGCTTGTGTTGTGTTGACCGGATAGTTCCCGTATTTGACTGTTTATTTTGACGGAGAAAGAATAGGAAGAATTACCCCGACGCATGCAGACGAACTGACATTTTATTCCATTTAAATCGCAGATGTAGCTAAATCGCTCAAGAAAAGATTCCCATCTGAACACCTGAGCTGGACACTGCTCAGCGCAGCTCGCTGTCAGCGTGTACTACATAAGGTACACAGTGAGCTGAAGATGTGGAGAGGGGCTTGGAGCGCGCAAACCACTCCAGCAAAAGCTGGACATCTACTGCTAACAACAATAACAGCAATCACAGTTCAAACAGTTTGAATATTTACATAAATGAAAATTAAAATCTAATGAATTTCTCTTAAAAATAATTGTTAAATGTCATAATACTTGAAATAAGACATTTAAATTAGTTTTATTAAACTTTTAAAGGTGTTAAACACTCGTTGCATTTGGTGGTCTCTAGTAGAAATGAATGCCTTGTAAGTCGTAGAGGGGGTGAGGATGGTACAAAAGCACCTGTATCAGCACGTAGTCAGCTGGCGCAGAGTGGCAGAACACGACAGGACGTGGACTCTTATTGGATAACGGCAACACAACTAGCACTGACTGGTGGCTCTGAAACGTTGATGTTTCATCTCCACGAATAACACAAACCGGGAGGAGTTGTGTCATGCGGTGGAGTTGCTAATGCTAACGGTTAGCTTCTACTAGCTAAGACGTTTTCTGGATGCTAAAGCAACAACAGCCTTTCTCGTCGTGAGCCAAGATGGATGAGTCCATGACTGTTAAGTGACAGTGTGACGTAGATCTGTCAGGCTTTTCTAATCCTAGAGTTTCATCGTCTATTTTCTATCAGAAGCTAATGCAGGAGATCGGTGTAGGAGACTATTTTCATGTTCAGCCTGCATGTTGAACTCAAGAGTGACCCATTATAATCAGAAATAATCATTAAAACATCTTTTCAGTTTTTCACACTTTTAATAAATGATGTATTCGTTTAAACTCAGTAAGTTATTGTGGTAACCTGCCTGGCTTGTATTTCCTTGTATTAGTAAACGTAGTTTACCTTTTTCAGTTTCAGTTGAATCCTGTGATGATTCAGGAACCTCACTTCTTTCTGATGTCTAAGAGAACAAAATAAATAATAAAACACGAGTGAGATCAGAGTAAAACATGAAAATAAATTACGATCTACGCCCAAAGATGAAAAAGGTCAAAATACAACAAGATAAAGTGTATTAAGAGTATTTTTAGGAGCTAAATAATAAAATGTAAAGTGGAAATCCTCCTCTAGCTGCTCTCCTAATGTAAGTCTATCAGGTGTCTGTAGGTGAAGGTCGGCTCAGAGAAGAAGGGATTAGACAGACGTTCTCTCACAAAGTCGAAGTGTTGCCTACAGGACAGACGATGTCCTGTCTGTCCTGCTTTAGAGCGATCCAAACCACCTGTCCAGACAGAAGTGATGACCCTGAACCAGGTGTGGAGGAGACAACCAGCCTGTCTGCTCGGCCTTTAAACTAAAGGTCACTCAGCACATCTGTGCTTCGACTAAAGAAAAGTAAAAACAAGATGTCTGACTTTCTAAAGCTGTTATCTTAGATCTTATGGATAGAAAATGGATGCAAAAAAAGGTCAACTTGAGAGTTTCGGCTCTAGGAGGTGACAAGTCCTTACTGAGCTCATGTCAAGCTCCTTTTTTTGGCACCAATAGGTTGATATATTTAAATATTTATTTGTGAACCGTAATGTCTAACACAAGCAGTCTGTGCCTTAATATTATGTACAGAAAAGGACAAGTCACTGTAAATAACGCCCGTAAAACCCTTTGTTTAGCCTCTTTTAAAAGCAAAATGGATTTTTTGTGTTCATAAGGACCGAGTGGGTACAATTACAGGAACAACTACACCTGTGGGTCTGAGAGGATTTTGTTAACTTGTTGGTTTCCAGCTGTGATGACAAAGAACATAAAGATAATGCACATACCGTAAATCCTCTAATACAGGCCCGGGCCTGTATTTGACTCAAGCTCACCACGCTCCAGGCCTTTATTGGAAGGAGGGCCAGTATTAGAGGCAGGCCTCTATTTCTATTTGAGCAAAATGAACTAATGGTTCGCTGGAGTGTTTGACAATTAAAATTGCGCCCACATTTTCAAAGTTAAACACATTTCTTTTAACAACGGTAGTTTCTGCTTCAGCCCTCTCCCCCCTCCCCCTGCGCAGCGGCCGCAAACTCACTGATGCGCCTGCAGCCTCTCGGAGTTCCTGCTGCTCTAAACATTAAAATAATTATTTCATTTTCTGTTCCTCACTTCTGATTACCTTCAATGGTGTCTGTTTGTTGCAACCACCAGGTACAAAAACTAACTTCTTTTTATTTGACTATTTTTCTGTCCTGTCTGTTTATCATCTTCCTGCATCTCCTCTCAATCCTAAAGAGAAACTGCTACCTGGGTTCATATATATTCACCTTATGAGTTACCTTTGAACTGCAGTTCTAAAAGATCTACCGACCGCAAAAACAGCGGAGTGCTCACTGCTTGCCGGCCGCATCAGTGATCGGTGCGTCACCGGAGGACAAGGTGATGGGCCCCGCTCCACAGCAGCGAAACGCATCAGGCACAGATAAATGACAGAAAACATCAAAGGAAATGAACCGACATGAACGATCGCGTGTTAAAAAATTTTTTGAGGTGGCGACACCTGATTGTTACTGTGGCCGTGCTCAGGAGGCAGATCTACCGACCGCAAAAACAGCGGAGTGCTCCCTGCATGGCGGCTGCATCAGTGATCTGTGCGTCGGAGGACAAAACAGGTGATGCGCCCCGCTCCACAGCAGCGAAACACATCAGGCGCAAATAAAAGACAGAAAACATTAAAGGAAATGAACCGACATGAACGATCGCGTGTCAGTACCGACGCTCTGGCACAGCGCGTTGCCTCCCCCCCCCCCCCCCCCCAGTGCAGGAGCTTGTCACCTGCTGACAGCAGGCTGCTGTCTTTTCCGTGGGCTGCATCTTGCCGGTCATTATCATGTGACAGTGACTAGTCGACGGCAGGCATAAAAGTCACTATAGTGAAGTCGACTAGTTCATACAACCCCTACTGCTCCCCAGAGTGTTCTGCAGCATAATCAGCATGTTCTCTTTGAACGTGATATCAAATTTTCGCCTCCTCTTCGTCTACACACGGTTAAAGTTACCCTCGCGGTCTATCACTGGCAAATCAAAAGTGAGACGATGACACAACCGCCCCCCGTACTTGCTTGTTACCACATTCCACCCGGCCACAATAAGAGACCGGCCATTATTCACCTCCGCCGACACCGGCCAAAATTGGAGACCCGACCTTTAATTGAATACCGGCCTGTATTAGAGGATTTACGGTAGATGGAGTTATAAGAAGATGTGACTGCAGCTTTGGTACCGACCATGAGAACCTGCTGCTCCAGCTGTTGGATCTTGGCTGCAGCCTCTTCCTGCTCTGCTGTTTTTTTCTCCAGTTGTTCTGAAAAGTCAGAGAGGAATCAGCAACACACGAAAACATCTGAAAAAAAAGATAGAATTGCAGATAGATGCTCTTACCCTGAACAGTTTCCAGGTTTTGTGTGAGCTGGACACATCGTTCACTTTTCTCACTGCATTCCTCTCTCAGCTGTGTCAGCTGAGTCTCTACAGACTGCAGAGTGTCCAGGATCAAGGAAAGGTCAGGGGGGTCAGGGACTTCCTCTGGCACAGATTCAACAGCAAGAGAGCATAGAGGTTTCCAAATTTCAGCTAGAATCTCATTCGCCCTCTGCGTGCGTCGTCTCTCCTCCCTGAGGGTTTCCAGTTCTTTCTCCAGCTTTTCAACCTCGGACTTGTCTCTTTCTAAAGTGTCCTGTCTGGATACAGATTCTGCTTCTCTCACTGATGCTAGTTCACTTTCCAGCTGAATGATCTCTGCCTGGTATTTATCTGAGGAATCTTTCTGTGCTTGGATGGCTACAAGCTCTGCTTCCTTCACCAGGGCCAGTTCTGCCTCCAGTCTGGTGACTTCCATCCTCTCCTTCTCCAAAGCCTGCTGAAAAGCGAGCTCTGCTTCTCTCACGGAAAACAGCTCGCTTTCCTGCCTTGCCACCTCCTTTTCCAGGGCCTCCACGTTGGTTCTTAGAGCTGCTAGTTCTGCCTCCGCCCTACTGGCCCGCTGCCTCGCCTCCTCCCTCAGCTCGACGGCATCGTTCAACTCCTGCTCCATCTGCCGGAACTGAGCTGTCAAGATCTGAGTGAAAAGAAAACAAGACAAGAGAAAGAGGACATGTGTGGGCGTGTTTTGTGAGGCTCTGCCAAACTGCGCATGATCTAGCGTTTAGGCGCAGTGTGTGTGGTGTTTGAACTATTTTCCTTTTACACAAAGAGCCTGTAGATGACAGATAACACGTAGAAGACTCTTATACAAAGACACTGAAACACCTGCAGAACAGGTTTGTGGGAAAACATCACCCATACCTGTTTTTGCTGATCAGCACTGCTCACTTCCTGCTGCAGCATCTCTAGCTCTTGTGAGCGAGAGCTTAAGGCCTCTTGAAGCTCTTCACATCGCTGCTGGGTCGACTGCAGAGCCTGATGACAAAGAGATAAAAAAGTAAAGCTTCAGTCATTTGTTTATTTAGAAAAGTCATGGAAAATGTCCTGTGTATGATCACACATTTAAAGGGGCATTATGGAAGTTCGACAGCCAAAACACGTATAGAAATAATAAATTTCTTCTTCATACATTCTCCTGCAATGCCCTGGTCCTGTAGAATGAGCCCTGGCATTTTTAGGTTTATGTTTTCAGCAGATGCTTTTGTCCAAAGTGACTTACAAGTGACAAGTGATAGTGATTTTTACTGTGATTGCCTGTTTTTCTGTAAAATCACAGAAAAAGAGAGATGCTCGGGTCAAGCAGGTTGCTTCATGCACGTTCACGCTCAGGCATAGCCCGTAGCATTTGCTATCCGTAGCTTTAGCAGCAGAGAGCGAGGCAGTGCCACTTTGTCGCTGTTCCTAACGCCTAGTGACAAAGCTAGCTACATTTCTGAGGACCCTTAGCTACTTTCTGTAGAACTTTCTTCTAGATATTTCCTGCAAATTAGCAACAAAATAGCCATTTTCGCTCCAAACCGTTCTTTGAACTTTGTTTCAGCTGTCATCAAGGATATAAATGTTACAGATACGAAAGACGGCGCTGGCGCTTTAGCCATCTAGTAAGATGTCGGACTCTCATGCAGAAGACCCGGATTCGATTCTAGTTATTAACATAGTTCATTTAGAGTTTCTTTTTTACATTAATGATATATTTTTTTACAGTAAGATGCCCAAATTTTTATTTGAGACTCGCCGAACGGCATTGAATTCACAGATTAAAAAAAAGGTTCAACTTTCATTTTGGAACAATTTTTCAAGCAAGGGAAGGGAATGATCTGAGCATGCAGGAGGACTGACCCATCATAAACCTTTGTCGGCTGTGCTGAAGAGAAAGGTACAGAACCAAATTATTTAATTAATTAGCTACACGTTCTCCTGTCCTCTGTCCTCCAGCCCCCCCCCCCCCCCCCCCCCCCCCCCCGCCCCCACACACACACGACTGTCTCAGCTGTTATTTTCGTTAAGGAGTGTGCACATATGCCATGCGCGCCTCGTGCACGAGCCTACTATTGAAGCAGCCGTTACGCCTTTAGCCTGAGGGGGAAATCGCGAGCATAAAAATTCAAAACTCCATAAAGTCCCTTTAAATGAAAAAAAAAATTGTTCTTTCCACTCCTCTGCATTATTTCCCCAATATGTCGAGAGGCATAAGAGACTCTGAAAGATTCACTTCAGCGATACAAGGGTCTGCAGGAACCTGTGGTATGGGATTCAGACGGGCCTTAATCTCCCCTCTGTGCTGAATCAGCTAAAACATTTCTTCACTGGCTTTGAGGCAGTTTTTGAAGGGAATAAAGTGAAGAGGTGAATCAGCCCAAAGCAGACGAGTTGGAACATAATGCAAGTTGAGCAACAGAAAAGTTGTGATGTTTTTGCAGCATAGAAGCAAAATGACAGTAAGCTACCCGATGGTTGCTTTTATGTTTGTGTAAATTCCTGCTTTTTCATGCATCTCCGATGAGAGCTGTAAATGCTGTGAAGAGCTGTTGCAGCAAATGCATTCACATGTTACCTAGCAGAGCTGCACGCTGGCTTTGCAGCATTTATGACTGAATTACATCTCAGTAATTAATCAATGTATTTAAAATTCTACCTGCAACTCATTTGATGCACATCCATTTTTACCTTTTAGAATATGTGAAAACTTTTTAATGGTCTAAAATTACTGACCTGCTGCAGCTCGCCGTCATTCTGACCCTGAGAGGTGACCCTCTGCAGCTCCTCTTCATGTTTCTGAATCTGCTCCTGGAAGCGGACGTCCTTCTCACACACCACAGCCTGCAACACTCTCAGCTGTAAACAAAAACAAAGTCAGTTAAAACACAACTCCCGAGTCCCGATAAAACTACAGACAAGTTTCAGGTCACCTGCTCTTTAAGAGAGGCCTCCTTCTCTTGAAGCAGCTGTTGGGTCACTTGGAGTTGCTCCTTAAGCTCCTTGTTGTTGGCCTCCTCCTCACTCAGCTTGTTTCTCAGCTCCTGAAGCTCCTCCTCAACTGCAGCAGCAGCTCCGGTGAAAGAGCTGTCCGGACTCGGCTGTGGACAAACACAAGTTCGGGTGAGATTAAGCAGACGGGGTCTGAGTGGAGATTTAAGGTCAGACTCACCGTTGCTCCTCCTTGGCCTTTCAATTCAGTTATCTGTTTGTTGAGTGAAACCATCTTGGCTTTAGCTTGGAGTTTGAGTTTAGTGAAGCGAGCCTCGGCTTCTTCTCGTTCGTTCTGTGACGACAAAGCAAACCCAACTGAGTGTGTACTCGAGTCAAAAGACTCGCAGAGCCCGGCCAGCATCAGACACGAACACAAAGTGTCCTTTACCTTGAGCTGTGCATCTTTGCTGGTCAGCTCTGAGTTCTTCTGAATGAGCTGTGTGTCTTTGTCTCGTATGAGCTCCTTCAGCTGGACCACCAGCTGTTCTAGGTGAGCCAGTCTCTCCATGGCGTCCTCGGGAGTGTCAGGGTCCATGGGAGTCTGGCCCTCGACAGGAGGGGTCTGAGGCACTAGTGCGCCCTGTCACAAGACAAAATTACACAAGGTTTTAAAGCCTTTACAGAAATAAATAAATAAAAAAAGGATTATAAAGTAAATATTAGCTTTGGGCTTTAAAATATACATTTCCAGGCATATTTCCAGATCTAACTGTGGAGCTTTAATTTAGGCTTTAAGTAAGTAGTAAGTAAATTTTATTTATATAGATAGCACTTATCACAGACATAGAATCGCTAAGTGCTTCACATAGATCAAAACAAAATAAAACAGTCATAAAATCAAAATGATCTCAAAACAGAATCAGATTAACGTCAGAAAAAATATTCATGAATTTATAAAATTGCATTAACAGATGAAAGATTAAAATTTTTAGTTAAAAATAACAAACTAAAAGGTTTAGGTAAAAGCAGCTTTAAATAAAAGGGTCTTTAGCTGTTTTTTAAAAGTGTCCAGACTGTCAGTGCTGCGTAAGGATAAAGGAAGATCATTCCAGAGTCTGGAAGGAGCGATCACCTCGACTTTTGTATCTGGTCTTTGGAACTTCTACAAGGTTCTGGTGGGTGGGCCTGAGTAAGTAAGTAAGTAAAAGTTTATTTATATAGCGCCTTTCACAGATATAAATCACAAAGCGCTGTACAACATGATAAAGATCAGGGCAAATACCTCTAACCAATAAAAACACCCGAAAAACAATAGCAGTGATAAACGTAAAAAATAAAATCATGACTATAAACAAAGTGAAGGTGTGAACCCAAACAAAGCCATCTTTTTGAAACATTTAGGGAGGGAACGCCTGGATGAAAAGGTGAGTTTTTAGATGATTTTTAAAGACCTCTACAGTGTTAGAGAGACGGAGATTTGAAGGTAGACTGTTCCAAAGTCTGGGTGCAATAGTCTGAAAGGCCCTGTCCCCTTTGGTTTTCAGTCTGGTTCGAGGAACAGCCAGGAGGTTTTCAGATGTGGATCTAAGGTTCTGAGAGGTGATGTGTGGGGATAAAAGCTCAGATAGGTAGCTTGGAGCCTGGTTGTTAAGAGCTCTATAGGTCAGGACTAAAACTTTAAACTGTATTCTATATTCTACCGGGAGCCAGTGGAGGGACTGCAAAACTGGAGTGATGTGAGCTCGTCTGCTGGATTTGGTCAGGAGTCTGGCTGCTGCATTTTGGATGGCTTGAAGGTGTGAGAGGGAGGTTTTGCTGAGACCAGTAAAAAGAGCGTTACAATAGTCTAAGCGTGAGGGCTCGGGTTGGAGCGTAAGGCTTTAACAGTTCAGTAACATAGGAAGGAGCTTGTAGAGCATTGAAAGTTATAATCCGGATTCTAAAATGAACTCTAAAGTTAACGGCTTTGAGCTACTCAGACTTGGATCAACACTGTGCTAGACTCAAAACACGACAAAATATTTTTACTTCTTAAGTAAATTCTTTTTGGTTTATACTTCTTTTATATATGTATGTGACATTTTGAGCACGCTTTACAAAAAAAATGGGAAATGAAAGCAGCAGGGGGTCCAAACTTTCCAAGACCAGGGCCAAAATCATGTTAGTCGTCCTTGCAAGCCACAAAAATAGTTTTTTTTATGAAAAATTATTTAATGGACATTTTTTATTTGCACACCCTAACATAAGATCAGAATACAAATATTGGGGAAAAAAATCTGAACATTAAAATGTTAGGAAGTGTTGCTCTACATCAACTCTAATTTCCCTCTGGGCTTAATAAAGTATCTTTGAATCGAATTGAATTTGAATAAAAATTCATCACACACAGAATAACTGAGGCCCAAAGATGGCCCTTGGCCCGCAATTTGGGCACCTGTTCCATGGAATTCAAATATTTTACGTAAAATCCAGAAAAGGGGGACTTGTGTTGATAATATGTCATTGTGGTTTACCTGCTGCTCTCCATCTGCACCCTCCTCTCCAGAAAGCTCCTGGAGGACTGTGGCCAGACGGCTCAACATCAAGATAAAACTGTAAAGAAAAAGAAAAAAATATCATTTCTATAGCTCCTCTCAAGATAAAAATCACGAGATGCTTCACAAAAACAAAAAATGTAAAAATATAAAAAAGCATTTAGAAAATGGTTAAAATATATTTTTAATGAGCAAAAAATAGACAATTGTGATTAAAAAATGTTAAGAAAGAGAGAGAGTGAATAGGAAAGAGGGAAATCAGTGGATCCTGAGGAAGGTGGAATAGGTGGGGAGAGCAGAATAAAGAGAGAGTGGTGAAGAAGGTCATACAAAAGTCAGCCTGAACAAGTGAGTTTTCAGCTGCTTTTTAAAGGAGACCACTGAGTCCACTGATCTCAGGCTCAGGGGGAGAGAGCTCCAGAGTCTGGGGGCCACAGCAGCAAATGATCTGTCACCTTTGGTCTTTAGCCTGGTGCTGCACAACCAGTAGGCTTTGGTCACTGGACCTCAGGGACCTGCTGGGGGTGTAGGGACTAAGAAGATCACTAATGTAAGATGGTGCTTGTCCATGTAAGGTCCTATAGACCAGAACCAGGATCTTGAAATGAACCCTGAAGTTGACTGGCAGCCAGTGAAGCTGGAGGAGAAGCGGGGTGATGTGGGTGTGTTTGGAGGACTTGGTCAGAAGCCGAGCACAGGCGTTCTGAACCACCTGTAGACGGTTCAGGGAGGTTCTGCTCAGACACGTGAAAAGAGAGTTGCAGTAGTCTAAGCGTGAGGAGATGAAGGTGTGGAGAACTGTCTCAAGTTCAGAGCGGGACAGAATGGGACTCAGCTTAGCAACGTTCCTGAGATGGAAGAAGGAAGAGCGAACAAGAGAACTGACATGAGAATCCAGGGTGAGAGCTGGGTCAAAGGTCACGCCAAGATTCCTGACGGAAGGTTTGGTATGAGAAGCAAGCTGACCAAGAGAGTCTCTGACTTTGGGAACCAGCTTGTCTGGGGCACAGATGAGGATCTCAGTCTTATCTTCATTCAGCTGAAGAAAGCTCCCAGCCATCCAGGTTTTGATAAAGTCTAAGCAGGTGTGTAACAGCTGCTGCTTAGACATCTCATGGGGCTTAAAGGAGATGCACAGTTGGATGTCATCTGCATAAAGATGGTAGGATATTCCTTTGAAGGAGCTCAAGATGTGCTGAAGAGGGAGCAGATAGAGGAGGAAGAGTAGAGGCCCCAGCACAGAACCTTGTGGGACACCATGGGTAAGTGGTGGAGGCCCTAAACTTGGAGAAGGCCACAGAAAAGGAGCGCTCAGAAAGATAAGAGAACCACTCCAGAGCAGTTCCTGATAGGCAGAAAAAAGCAACAGAGCTCAATGTCCTAAATGTCTGCAACATGATTCCTCCTTTACACCATCTATGGTTGTTTATGTTTCATATTTGGCATGAATTCTGTCTGCAGTCCAAAGTCATGAACATTTCCTGCAAAAGTCCAACTATAAAAGAAACCCAGAGAATATTTGACTTTGCACATCAAGGCAGACGAAAGTAGAAATGGGTTTTGTTGATTGTTTTTGCAGGAATTAACTTTGAGCCTGTTTCTACTACTGTAGCCTACGTGAAGAGGTTATAGAGACAATCATAACACGACAGGAGGGAGATTTTTAAAGTTTCACATTCTCATCTTCCGAGTCAAGAAAACTGAAAAGTAAAAATCTAAAAACACCACTCACACTATTTACTACTACATTTAATGGCTTTTAATGCGGAGGTCCGCATCTTTGATTGCCACTGAGAAAAGACTGTAGACGCTTCCTCATCTTCTCCGAGTTGGGTCGAATATTGACGAGTGTTTACGAACCTGACGGACCCTCAACTGCGGCTGCGTCAATCTTTTGGTGAGCAGCAAAGATTAAAGCTAGCTAGCACGAAAATAGACGGTAAACTCCCCGAGCTGCTGGGAGATCCTGTCGGAAACACGCACTACACTAAACATGGAAAGCCGGTGACGTCGATAAGATGTTGTTCCGTTAAAACCCTCGCTGTTTTCCGTGACTGCTGTTTCCACGACACAGTAAGTTGGCCGGAGCTACTTGGTTAGCTGACGATGTTAAAGGTAAATAGGACAGCGTCTCAGAGCTTCGCGAAGCTTTGCCTCCCCTTTTGTATGACAGCTGTCCTGTACACCGCAGCCAACTCTGTCATTTTTAAAGAAAGCACGTTTGACTCACCTGTGCGCGTGCCCCTCAGGTAAATACGGCTGCTTTTATTTGTCTTATTTCCTCGGATGGATTTCAGAGCCACATCACCAAACACTCCCGGAAACAAAACTTTCTCTGCTCTGATTGGACGGTCGGGATCCGTAAGAGACCGTCTACAAATTTAAAGGCGTCCACTCCCCTTTTAGGGAGCATCTGCCTAAATACATCAATACAGGGGTAAAAAAGCTAATTGAACGCTGGAACATTTGAGATGATCTAAATCTGGAACCACAGAGAGAAGGTTTAATGATGGCAGGGCATGACCAAAGAGTAAACCTGATCATTAACCATGGGAAGCAGCTGGGGAGGAGCCTGCTGCTGCTGGCCCACTACACCACGCTGTTTGTGCTTTTTGTTGGGCGCTTTGCTCAGTGGCTGGTGGGTGCAGTGAAGTGGACCAGCACGTTTGCCCGTTGCACCACAACAGCTTTTGACTTCGTCTACCAACATCTGCACTGGGTGAAGAGGAGAAGCATCAGTGCCAAAGAGATCTGCCCGAGCTCTGGCGCAGAGCCACGGTGACTTGTTCTATTACTTCATCCAATCATGATGACAAGACACTACAAAATAACACATGAATATGAAGACAATGACTGGAAAAAGAAAGCGAGGCCTTATGCCAAAAATATGTTTATGTATTTGGCTGATGCCAAACATAAGCTTTTAAGCTCTTAATACAAATGTATTTGTTTGTTTGGATAAATAATGTGAGTCAGTGTTGAAGGGAAGCTCCTGCAGAATGTTATGGAAGTTAACGTGTTGTTGCCAAGCATCAATGTCATCTGCTAAGTGTTAATGGAGGTGTGTGACAGGGTATTAAAACTGCAGTCCATGGACGTAATTTTTTTTTTTGGGGGGGGGGGGGGGGGGACATGTCCCCCCACCCCACTTTTTCCAAAGTCAAGTTTTGACCCCTGCACTTTTTACCATCCAAAAACAATATTACGCTGTATTAAATTGACACTGGTTGAGCTCTAGGACCAAGCGGAAAACAACCGTTTGTGTTGAAGCCTGTTTCCCATTAGAGCATAGTGTAAACATCCCCCCCCCCACTACCACCCTTCTAAAGTGAAAATTACGTCCATGCTACAGTCAAACATTACTTCACTACCGGAAAGGAATGCTCTCCCATAAAAAGATAAATCAACTTTACTGTGACCTATACGTATGTTTGGTTATAACTAAGTTATCAGTTAGACATGAACGTACCTTTTTATGCATGCTGGTCTGAAACCATTTCTGTTTTTTACCTTGTGTAACGAGTATTTAACCATTCCTGGATTTTCAATTTTATTTCATGTTCTCTATTTTTTATTTAAATAACCGTATTAAAATGAATATTTTACATGTTAAACACTGTGAATTAATTTTCTTATATAGAAACCTTCTGATCAGAACAAACTCCTAAGCTGCTGCTTTCAGCATCTATTTAGTTTAATATTTAATGGTATTTAAAAGCACTTACCCATAAATGTTGTATAATTTTATGCTAACACGGAGTTCAAATGGTTTCCTGGGGTGTTTTGATCCTCTTCTCACTAACTCGATCTGTAAAGACTTTGTTGTGGTATTCAAATAAACGTCTTCACTAATCTTCAGTAAGCTTGTTCTTGTGCAGCATTAAAACAAAGCTGAAAACAACTTAAGCTTCAGAATCATTTGATTTTACTCTTTGTATTGTCAGTAAGGGAAAAAGTACATTTTTAAGTCAAACAACAGAATTCAGACAGCAGCTCTCTAAGGAACTTATATTCTTCATTAAACAAACAAGTTGCGTATAACAAATGATTTTATAAAACATCCATTCAGATTTATAAAGACTTTTACATATTTTAAAAAGAACCACACCTAATTAAATAAAATTAGAATAGACATTTTTAGGACTTTTGGGGACATCAGTTTGGTTTAGTTGCCCTCGAATGTCTGCAGCACACGGTTTAAATTTAAATTAAACTAATCAGATTAATCTAGGAATGCATGATGGTAAATGGAAGAAAACTACATCAGCTTGCATGAAAATTATTCCAAGTCAGCTTTATGGATTAGTTTCACATCAAGAATCGCATCATTTGAATGTTTCTCCTAACCTTCAAAGGTCTGCAGCCTTCACAATCCACAGAACTGTTTCCCCCTTCAGGCCACAGCAGTTACAGGATCTTAAAATAAGTGCTTTCTAATTTTTGAAAAATATCTATGAAAGACAAAAAAGGAAGAGGAAACAAGACAGAATTTTGAGATTAAAAATAAAGATTATGACTTTTCTGAGATTAAACTACAAAAAAAAAATAATTCACGTCCGTAGGTGAAACTTGAGAAATTATAATGTTCATCTATTTCAGTATTTCGACTTAAAGGGTGAAACTAATCAACGAGATACTCATTACAAGCAAAACCAGCCTTTATTTATTATATTTGTGATAATTGTGAACACCCCAAATTCAAAATATCAGACAATAAGAATATTGTGAAACGGTTCAATAGTCTAGACTCAAAATGTCTCACAGCTAATGAATCCTTTTCATCTGCAAAGGGTTCCCGAGCCTTTAGATAATCTCTCATATTTAAGTTGAATTACTGACATAATTGAGTTATTGAAAAACAGGAAGAAAGTAAGTGATCTGTTATTTAGCGCCTCTCAAGATAAAAAATCACGAGGAGCTTCACAAGAACAAATAATTCATCCATCCATTATCTGAACCAGCTTGTCCTTGCAGGGTAGCTGAGGGCTGGTGCCTATCTCCAGCAGTCTACGGGCAAACAGGCGGGGTACACCCTGGACAGTTGCAGGGCAACACTGAGACACACAGGACAAACAACCATGCACACACACTCACACGTAAGGATAATTTGGACAGACCAATTAACCTGACAGTCATGTTTTTGGACTGTGGGAGGAATCTGGAGTACCCAGGGAGAACCCATGCATGCACTGGGAGAACATGCAAACTTTTTGCTGAAAGACCCCAGGCTGGGATGTAAACCCAGGACCTTCTTGCTGCAAGTCTACCACGCTAACCACTGTGCAGCCACAGGCTTACAGAACCTGGTATTTGTACGTGGTCTCCCATCCAGGTACTGACCAGGTCCTACTCTGGATTGCTTACAAGATCAGATGAGATTGGGACTTTTCATGGTGGTTTGGCTGTAAAAATTCAAAATACCCTCCAAAAAGTGTTAAATTAGAAGAAAAAATAATATTGATAACATAAAAAATAAAGAATTGTGATTAAAAATGCAAGAAAAGGGAAAGAGAAAATCCTGGTATCCACTGATTGCACCATATTCTAATTTTTCCAGTTTCACCAGTAATGACATTTGTTTTAATTTGGGGAAAAAACAAGAACCTGTTTCTCTTATTTGGTTTTAAAATTAAGAAAAAAATTAAAACATTTGCAAAAGAGTTTGTATGTTTGTTTTTCTACAGCAGTCGTTCCCAAAATTTTCAGCTTCAGACCTACAAAATAGCAATTTTAAAGAAATGTGACCCCAGTTAATTTTGATTGGTTACACAAACATGCTTTAAAAACTAAACAGTTCCCGGCATAAAGATCGCAGCTTATTGACTTACATCCATTTATGACAGTTTAGTTGAGTTTTTCAGACAGTTATGCTAGAAATATAGCTTCAGCATTTGCTTTTCTACTTTATTTTAATTTCTGGACATCATCTCAAGACCCTGCATAGCTGTTTGTGACCTACAATGAGGTCCCGACCCCAACTTTGGGACCCACTGTTCTGTGAGATCTTGATATTTGCAAAAAGATTTGAACACTTTTAGTGTCAGTCTTTTGGGCGACGGTGGCACAGGAGTTAAGTGCTCGCCCTGTAATTGGAAGGTTGCAGGTTTGAGCCCCGCTCTGTCTGTCGTTGTGTCCTTGGGCAAGACACTTAACCCACATTGCCTGCTGGTGGTGCTCGGCAGCCTCGCCTCTGTCAGTGTGCCCCAGGGCAGCTGTGGCTATATCGTAGCTCATCCCCACCAGTGTGTGAATGGGTGAATGACTGATTGTGTTGTAAAGCGCCTTGGGGGGTTCCAGGACTCTAGAAGGCGCTATATCAAATACAGGCCATTTTGTGGAAATCCAATGCAATTATTCCATGAAAAAAAAAAACTGAAAAGCTACTTTAACCTTCATTTTGACATTATATTTAAAAACATGAGTTAGTTTTTATAATGACTTCTAGCCAAAGTTATTAAAGACCATTGTGAAAGGTCCAAAGAGCCATGGTTACAGACCCCCTTCCTAATCTGTGGTGTACAGAATGAGGAACGTTCACCAAATTTTAGACCCTGCAGCACACTTAATTAGAATGCAGGCCAGGACGTATCCCAACAGCTGGGACGCACACTGGATGTCCCGTACCTGCATGTGAGGGATGAACATGGCATCATTCTTGTCAGCAGATCTCAGGGTAAACACAGAACAGTCAGGCTGCCCTTTCAATGGAGCGATTAAGCTTATTAACATAACAAGTTTACATGGATTACGGCCAGCGATTATACCCAGTGAGAACATCAAAGGGGGCGTGGTGGTACAGTAAGCTACATAAGGCCTGCACTGGTGGACATTCTCACCCTTAAAGGTTCCAGCATTGCATGACTGTGAAACTTGAGAACCTCCGCTTCACAGTAGACCCAACTGGACAAGGTCCACTTTGCACCTTCAGCCGCTGGTGAGATGGGAAACTCAAATGGATGCACCGTGGACGACCTGCAGGCGGTGGAGATGCACCTGTGGTACAAGAAGTTCATGACGGAGTGCCCTTCTGGTCAGCTCACACTGCACGAGTTCAAGCAGTTCTTTGGGCTGAAAGGTCTGGACCCGGAAGCCAATGCCTACATAGAGCAGATGTTCCGAACGTTTGACATGAACAAGGTAAGCTCACACACCGGAACTCATGAAACTCAGGACTGTAAAAAGTGGCTTTTCTTACATATGTTGAGGTGCATTTAGTTGTTCTCCCCCCTCCTTTCACCTTCAAATGACCTTTGTCGTATAAATCTAAATAACATCTGGAAGCCTAAAAGGCGTTTACGGTGCAAATTTATTCCAAAGCATTAAAATTTTGTAATATCTGGATGAATTTTTAACAACAGAAAAATGTAGATTTATGCAACCTGTCAGTTAATCAACCTAGCATGTACAATCATCCTTAAACTGAAATGAAATGTATTTAAATGCTAATATTTCCTCATTCATTTGTTTGTGCACTCATAAAAAACAAATAAATAACTAATACACTTAACAGTAATTACAAAATCCCTACAAAAGGCATTAATATAAAATTACAGCATTTAGGAATGACTTTTATGGAGATTTCAAACCCTTAAGTTCTACTAAAGAGCCTCCTTTAAAAAACATCATTTGAAAAAAACCTCTGCTTCATAATTCTGTAAAACCAATGGGTCATATACCAGTAGGTGCTTTAAGTAAGGTTATTGTGTTGAAGATAAATCAAAAGGCAAATCTAACAATGTTTGTGCCATCTCAGGTTTGCCAGTGCTATTTTCTGTTTCCTTTAGATGCAGAAAAACAAAGATTTTAAAGTTGTGAACACTGCATTTAGATTACAGGACACCTTAGGTTCTTATGGGTTAAACAAATGTGCATTTATTTAAAGAATTTAGTATTTACGGACATTTTTAATTCAACGATAACGATTTGCAGCCATTTCAGGAGGAAATATTTCAAGATAAAATTCAGGTTATAATACAATTTTAGCTCCACATAATTATGGATCAACGTAATATTTTACAACCTAACATGGTTCCAGTAAACAGTCCAAAAGTGTGAGAAATAAATCCATGAGTTTTTCAATACCATTCACTTACAGGTCATTAGTCCATCTCAGTTATAAGCATACATTGCAATCTTCCTCCTGGATCAGTCTCTATTTGGGAGCATTTAAGTGTGTGACACGGTCATCTCAAGGTTTCGGTCTCAGAATCTATATTTATTCTCTTTCCAAGCCAACAAAAGGCCGCTGTAATCTCTGCGATGACTGAACAAAGAGATTATCCCAAAGACGATGCTTTGATGCTAAGTCTGTTGTGACACGGACTGGAGATAATCCTCTTGTCTTGGTGCAGAATCAGCGAGCAGCTGTTTGACATTGCATCGGTGCACTCATTAAGGTTTTGATAGGCTGATAACCACTTGGTACCCAGCAGGTAGTTTTGTGTTGTAATCTGATGTTTGACACGGTTTTGATGTGAATCTCACTGCTCGGTTCTGCAGGACGGCTACATAGACTTCATGGAGTACGTGGCCGCTCTGAGTCTGGTGATGCGAGGAAAGATGGAGCACAAGCTGCGTTGGTATTTCAAACTTTACGACGTGGACGGAAATGGCTGCATCGACCGGCATGAGCTTCTGAATATCATCAAGGTAGAGTCAAACCCGTTGGTGCCGCACTTCTTTAAGAATCCTGGATGCAGCGTGCTGATTTTCTGCTTTCTCCTCCAGGCCATCCGTGCAATCAACGGGAATGACAATCAGGATCAATCAGCGGAAGAATTTACAAACCGCGTCTTTGACAGGATTGATATAAATGGAGATGGTGAGTATGTGAACAATAGCAGTGGGCAGATGATGGTTTAGGCATTTAATCCAGTCTGAAAATAAAAACAGAGGACAAAAAGTGCTGGTTAAATGCCAAAATCTTCATTCACTAAAGCAAAAAGTCCTTTTGATGCTGACAGATTTCTGACTGTTTCTTTACACAGGCGAGCTCTCATTAGAGGAGTTTGTGGAGGGCGCTCGTAGTGACGACGACTTCATGGAGGTGATGATGAAAAGTTTGGACCTTCGCCATATTGTGGCCATGATCCACAACAGAAGGCACAGCGTTTAGGACCTGTCCATCCAACGACCTCATCCTCTAAAGCAAAACTGACCCGAGTGCTTCGGTTCGCCGTCTCTGGCAAAACAAAGGGTTTTTTATAGAGTCAGATCTCTATTAAGATTGAATCCACCTCAATGTGATGCCAGCGCGCTGAAAACAGACTTATCGGGAGTTAAATCTCTAAAACGAGTGACACACATGCACTTTAAACGGGCTGGCTCAGCCAACCCTTGCAGACTGGTCATTGACCTTGTTTAATGATGGCGAGCTCTCCCAAGGCCGCCCTGGCATGAAGGATGATGTCTGAGACAGACGCCCTGAGGGATAAGGCAGGGAGATAGTGGAGCAGAGTGGCAATTATATGCACTCAACTGTTCTCTGCAGCTTTTTCTGCATCAGAATCCCTTTGCATCAAATTACTCAAACCTCTGTTCACCCGCTCTTGCCTGTGGGAGATCCAGGAGGAAGCCACGACTCTGCAGAGGGTTCAGCATCCTCGCTAATTTGGATTAAATCCGTGTGTGAAATGTAGGTACAAGTGCAATCTCTGGTGAGATTCTGTAAGCCTGCAAATGATTCTTAAATATTTTTATACTGTTTCATGTTTCAACATAAAAATAAGAAGCAAAAAATAAAAATAAAGTCTTGCTATTTTACAACATTTGTGTTTGGGTGCGTGTTTCTTTCCCTGAACTCTATATCACGGTTTTATCAGCTTCAAATGGAACACAGTTTGATAATTCTACTTTTGTTTATTTTTACAAATAAAATGAACAATAAATATTTGAAAATGCTTGACTTTTGGCTTCATACTCAAAATACAAGTCATGTATTTACTCTTGAGTTTTCATTTTTTATAGGTTCAAAGCAAACATACAAAGCTGGATGCAACATAGCATCCTTTTAATTTTTAAATGACCTGCAACACTCGTTTATCATGGTACTTGTGGCCCTTTTAAATATGACTGATAAATTATGATTAAGCTAAAAGAACGTGGAAATCAGCTGTAATCAAGTCAAAAGTCTTTGAAATTTGCTCTGTTTTCACAGCATTATCCTCCAACTACAATGCTGTAATCCAGCAGGGTAAAAACACATCAGAGGTAAAAATTCTGCCTCTGAGCAAGGACAATGAGTCATCTGTATGTTGCCAGGATGTCTGAACGTCAAGCAAATACCCACAGTGTCTAATGTCACTTTTATTTGCATTTGCATTATTTAAGACGTGATGTGAGTATTTGGGTGTCTTTTTAATTTTTTTTATAAAAGTCTGTTAAGGTTATTGGTGTTCTAAGGATTATTGGTGCAAAAAGGCTTTATGGATATTTTTCTAAAACTGATGAAACTTGTGTGCTTTTTTAAAGTTTGTTTACTACAAATTTGAATATTTGAGATCGTTTGTAATTCATATCAGCCACAAGGGGGCAGAATTATAATCAGATTAATTTTCCTCCACATAACAGAAGTCTGGACCGTTTATTCTGCCAAACACTTGTCTTGAAGTGTGTTCCTGCACGCATAAATCTTTCATATCTTACCATCATTGTGCGTCTTCTCTCCTTCAGGCCCCGCTGGCTCACAGGAAGTCATACAGATACTTCACAATATCAAAGTTCACAGTCCTGAAAAAAAAAAAATCACACCAAGCACATTCTCCATAACACTATAAAAGGTCACATCCCTTGATTAATTTGGCAACTCTCTGTCGTGTGATAACAGATAACACACACACACACACACACACACCTGGATATGGCAGAAATGAAATCCAGAGTAACTGCACACTTGTATTTTGGGGCATCGAGTTGGTCGTCATGGCTGATCTGAACCAGCAGCTGCAGGGTCACCAGAGAGGAGATCTAAAGGGAGGAGGAACAGAATGATTCTCTGATCCTGGAACAGACGGCTGATTCACTTTGACACAGCAGCTCTAAATATTGGAATGCAGAAACACAGATTTCCTGAAGGCATTTTAATCAGAACTTTTCGTAGATCTGAGGAAACCCTCTGTTTATTAAAGGTGCAGTAGGAGATGTTTTTCTGGAGCTTTTATTCCATTTGCTCGAAATGCTCTTCACATTACCCATCTCAGTGGCCTAGTGGTGTGTCCGCCCTGAGACTGGGATATCAGTGTTCAAATCCCAGTCAGATCAAACCCAAGACTTTAAAAATGAGCCCCAATAACTTCCTGCTTGACGCTCAGCTTTAAGGGGTTGGATTGGGGTTTAAAACACCAAATAGTTCCCAAGTGCAGCCACAGCTGCGGCTCACCGCTCCCCACGGGGATGGGTCAAATGCGGAGATGCAATTTCATCAGCATGTGATGATGACTAATGGACTTTAACTTTTAAAATATCATCACCAACCAATAAATATGTGTGTGTGTGTGTGTGTGTGTGTGTGCAGCAGAGAAGAAACATTACATTAAAAGATTTTATTCATCTAAATACCAGAATCATGTATTATTTATTTTGACTTCATCAGCTTAAACTCAATTAAAATCCTCTTTCCATGAAAGCAGTGGATGTAAAACACTGAAAATATTTTTTTGCAGGAAACATTCATCAGAAACAGTAAAGAGCATTTGTAAAAGGGAAATCATTTTTTAATGTTTAATGGCAAAAAACAACGGGTGGCCAAATATTTGCAACAATGCACTTTCTTTGATTGCTTCTTTAAACGGCAAAATCCAAATTTAGAATGTAATTTTGCTTAAAATATTAAAAACATGTTAGTTTCTTCAAGTAAGTTAAATAGGTGTTTAGAAATGCAGGAAAACACTAATTTAAAGGCTTTGAAATATCAAACCTCTGGATTAATTTTTTTAAAGGTTAAGGTTTAGTCTGTATTTTACAAGTTAAAGACACAAAACACCCTTAACACCACCAGCAGATAAAAGCCTTTGTTCAAATGTTATTTAAAATAGAAACTCATTAATAAAATCTACTTCGATGTAGTTTCAACACAACTCTGATCAAATTAAAAAATCTTTTCTACAACTATGTTGTCAGTTGGTATTGAAATGTAAAAGTTTCACTTTATTTGACTAAAGTTTATTTTTTCAGTGCTCGTATTTTTAGATTTGAAATTGAAATCCAGACAAAAATGACATTTTAAGAAGCAAAATCTTCTTTGTGTGAAAGAAAAGCAAAAACTTTTTGGCATAAAGGTTTTTCCTCACATTTTCTGAACAGAAATGTTAATAAAGTACTCCTAAAAATGATCAGACCTGGGAGAATATGCTAGCAGTCGGGGCCACTCTGCTGTCCACCACACTGTAAAAAATGGCGAGTAGACGGTCCAGAGGAAAGGGCTTCGGCCCAAGAAGGTGGTTACTCGTCTAAAAGAGACAGAATTCAATTCAATTCAATTCAAAAATACTTTATTAATCCCAGAAGAAAATTGATTAATTTCTATGGCTGATGTTTTAGATTTTATTTAGAGTATAAAAAGGAAATTTAAACTTGGTATAGTTTGACCTCTCACCTTTTCATTTTTCTTCAAGAAGTTTGTTTTTCGTATTTTACCGTGATGCTGCGAGGCAGAAAGGGAAAACACAGCAACTTAAAACCAGTTTAGGAAAATAAAATAGCAGGTATGTAATGAACTGTAACTGTTCTACCTTCACAAAGAAGCGTTTATCAGTGCGAGCCGGGTTGTAGGAGGCCAGGTAGGCAGCAATCAGCAGGAACTTGGAGTAATAAGGAAGTTCAACATGAGTGTGAGCTGACAAACCTTTGAAGGAAAAAAACAATTCAATTCAATTCAAAAAAACTTTAATCATCCCGAGGGGCGATTGTTTCAGTACAGAAGAATTGGTACTGTGGTCATTCGCAACAAGAGTCGCGCTACCGTTAGATAATAGTTGAAGAGGGGATTACATGAGGAGAATTGGGAGAGGGAAAAAAAGGCCGAGCAGAGTTGTGACAATGCTGGATCCTCATGGGCTGTATTATGGTAATGCCGTATAGACGGTGTTTAAAAATAGCAACGATATCAGTGACAATACCGTCCTGAAAAAAACAACGCAGTGCACTTAGATAAGAATGAATTTTTTTTAAACAATTTAATATGTAAAAAGTAAATTGATGTGTAAAACTGATGTATGGTTGATTTGTCTGTTTTATTTAAATAGTTATGGCAGACTATTGGGAGACATTCCACAAAGTTTATGAATATGACGTTGTCATGTGACAGTGCAGAGGAGAGAGAGAGTGCAGAGGAGAGGGAAAGAGAGAGAGAGAGAGAGAGAGAGGAGAAAGATAGCAGGTCCCACATTCACTGACTTGGTGTAAAAAAATAGATAAATAAATAAAACTGTTTCTGAAGTTTGGAAGTAATTCGGGTTCAAAGCAAATGATAAAAGAGAGCCGATGTTATGTCAATCTGCGTTTCCCCTTCAACGAACGTTCCCGTGCATAAAGAGGTGACGTTGGGTTCCGTCGGCACTGCAGAGAAACAATCTAGATATGAAGCAACAGCTTATTTGAAGCCTGTTATTCAAGGAGATGACAAATCACTTTTCTGGTGGAAACATGCTGCTAGTCTCTTCCCGAGAGGTCGTGACTGGCTTGAAAGCTTGCATCTGCACCACAAGCTCACATCGGAGCAAACTGTAAGCACCGCAGGGAAAGTTGTTGGTCCATAACCTGCAATGTTGAAGCTAGAAAAGAAAAATGCTGTTTTTTTCTGGCAAAAATTATTTGTAATAAGCTGTATTTTTTTTATAAAAGGTGTTAATGTTATTTTTTCAGTAATAACAGCGTTTGGGATTCAGTTTCTAAATGGTGAAGGTAATGTTGCATCATAATTTTTGTAATCGTGTACACCATGGTAAAATGTGAAGGAAGTTTAACGATATCAAAATTTGGATACCGCCCAAGCCTTATCCCCACACACCTGTAGCATTATTTTTACTATAAGGGATCAAATAAAACTATGGCGTTTAGAGTTTAGAAGTGTCGGCACCTCTCACAGCTCCGGTTTCCTGCTCCTCCATCTGCTGCATTTGTTCCCACTGAAGACTAGAGGAGGATAAAACACACACATGATCATTAGACAACCCCACAGACTGCTTAGCTCGTTTAAAAAGACACTGATCCTTTTATCTAATAAAAGCTCAAGGGAAATCACACCTGGATACCTCTCGGAGGTAAACCGTCCGCATGGCTTTCTTCAGATGAGGCTCGATGTTTTTCCACAGCTTGTGTGTGTCGCCCACTTTCGCTGAACAAAACGAAACATGAAAACTGTTTACTACCACATCAGCATTACCTTGACATGAACAAAATGATAAAGTGCTTTTAAAATACAGATTTAGGTTCATACTTTACCTTTTCCTGCTTCTACGGGTTCACAAAACTTTGAAAAGTTGAGAGCAGCCTGGTCGGATAAAATAATCAAAAACAGTTACTGGCACATGAAACAAAAACAAAAGAAAAAGCTGCACCGAGTCATGAGAGTGTGTTTTTCTGACCAGGTGTCTCAGCTCTCGGAGGTCCCGACAGACCGAGTAGAAGACTCCAAGCAGGATGTTGATGTAAGAGGAGTAAAACTCAGCTGAATATGAAGGGTGTTTATTCTTGGACAAAACCTGCTTCAGCTCATCTGCAAATGAATTGAAATGCAGACTTTTTTGGAGCAAAACCTTAAAGCCCATCTTTAGTTCAATCTATCAAAAATGACAAAGTTATAACTGTTCTTTTACATTCTGACTACTCTGAAGCACAGCTGATGTGAGTTTTTGTGATCACTATCTTGCTTTGTAATGAAACAGCTCTGAAGTCGCTGCCTGGGGCATTCAAACCAAATCACAGGTACGATTCTCACTTCTCGCACATGCGTTGTGTGAGACGGACAATACCTTTGCTGTAGTCTGGGAAATGGAGCAGAAGAGGCTCAAAGCAGCCAGTGTTGGGTCTGAATGTCTCCCAAACTATTTCACTGAGCAGGATGACTGTGACGTTGTCCTCCACCTGAAAACAGATGTGACAAATACATCTCATCATTAATGAGTTGATTTAACGCTACAGCTAGAGCAGGAATCCATGGCAACAGATGTTCCTTTTTATTCATTTCATTAGTTTTATGTCCAACAAGTCACACACGTACATTCTTTAGTATTAATAAAGTTCATGATTACATTCTAAAAGGGTTTTGAACTCCAGAAGATATCTATTTTTAGAGATTAATCTTAGAAAAAAATCATTTGGAAAATCAAAGTAATTTCAGTCATTTTTAAATTACAGTTTAAAACTTTTAAAATACCCTTATATTATGTTTGTCTAACAGACTTTTGAGTTTCTGTAAAGAGAGACAAAAAAGATTTAAAGGAACAGCGGAAGATCTTTTTCTTCCGGTTGGATCGTCTGAACCATTGGTCCGCACAGCTGTCAATCATTCTGGTGAAGCTTTAACGTAAGGCCGTCGTATGTGCTCGTTCCTGGGTTAGTTTTCACTTCCTGCTCATTCTGTTTAATCATATGCTACGGAAGCATAAACAAATCAGAAAAGGAATAAGGTGCAGACTGAGGTAGACAGAAGTAGTACAATACAGGTGAAAGAACAAATAAGCTAAATAAAATGCAAAAGAAAATAAATAGAATAAAAAGGAACTGCACATAATCTAAATCTGACTTTGTTGAAAAAATACAAATCTTCTTTTCTTGAGTGAGTGTGTGCTGCAAAGCTGGCAGCTACTTGTAAACAGAGCGTGCAAGAGGATAACTCTTTCATGCCCATTTTTTTTTAATTGTGGAAAAGGCGGGTTCTTTCCTGAAATTCAGAAACAATCGCCAACATACCTTTAACTGTTGACAACTGGTCAGGGTTAACATGTTTATTCAAGTCATCACTGAAGGATGGAGACACCATCATGAAATGAGATGCTAATCCCTACTAGTGGATTTGTTATGAATATCCTTTAAAATAATTTCTACATGTTCATTTCTTTATTTTCACAACTGACCAGTAATTATATCCTTTAGAAAATGATAAATAATTTAATTGCTATGTAGAAAAGGAATTACAAAAAGGTGTTGTTAAATAAACGTTAAAAGGGCTTGCCATACATACCATACCATGTTTATTCATAGAGCACATTTAAAAGCAGCAAAGCAGCAGGGAACAGAGGAGCTCCGTAAAAACAGAAATAAAATCAAACAACCTAAAAATGAGATTAAAAATAGACAAATAAAAGTGTCATTGGTACTAAAAACATGAGAAAATAAAAGCAGGGAAAGCACAGAATAAAACACCAAAGGCAATCAGTCCTAAGATATAGTAAAAGTAGGTCAATGACCAAAGGCAAGGTGATAAAATAGGTTTGCAGCGCAGACTTAAAACGGCCTAGTGAAGGGGCCTGTCGTATTTGGAGGGGGAGGGCATTCCAGAGTTTGGGGGCAGCGAAAGAGAATGCTCGCTCTCCACGAGATTTGTAGTGCATCTTCGGGATGCACAGTAGTAGCTGATCTGCTGATCTAAGGGATCTAGAAGGAGCATACAGTTTTATTAGTTCAGCGAGGTAAGTGGGAGTTGGGCCTTTCAATGCATGTACATGTTTGTTGTAGACAAATACAGAGGAATCGTAGAACATTACCAAATGAACCCTCGTTCACTGGATTGTTCTAATATTACTGTTGAATCACTTCAGTAAGGGCTGGTCGATATGGCCTAAAATCAATATCACGATAAATTGAGGATTTCACCTCCATAACGATAAATGGACGATAACTACAGGTATGCGCAGAAACAAAAGTTGCCCACTAGATGAGGTTGTCACATGAATTACGTTGAGTCACATTTTTACGTTGCTCAAGGTGGTACAGCTTCTTAAAAAAATGAATGTTGCCAACCTACACACATCTTTTCATTTTTTTATTATCAAATTTATTGACATGGAAAAAAAATTGCGATAAGTCTGAAATTTCGTTAACGATAAATTTTCGATTTATTGCCCAGCCCTAACGTCAATCACTGTCGTAATCTGACTCAGTTGGAGCTACTTTTTGTGCGTGATGATCTCAGAGACGATGACAAGTTTAAATAACCAGAAGTCCACTTCCCCGTGTCAACTCCACAAAAGAGCAATGGTTGTGTCTACTCCATGTTACAAACACACTTATTATTATTGTGTGTTTTCAATTATTGGCTAAAAGAAAAGTGAACATTGAAACACAAGAAGTATTTTACTGATGCAGACATGATGCAGACGTTGCTGTTTTGACTGAACCTCGGGTCAGAACAAAACATGGTGAAGATGCATTTAGTTACTATGCTGCTCACATATGGAATTGGCTTCCCCTTGACCTCAGATCTGCCCCAACCCTAGTGTTGTTTAAATCGCCTTTAAATGAATTGTTTCTTATCATGCGTCAAATCCGCTGTAATCTGCGTTGTAACTTTGTCTTCTCCTTCAGCTCTAAACTGTAATTCCATCTGTGTGTATTCTAATTTGTGTTTTTATGTGTTTTCATATCATGTCCTGATAATTGCAAAGCACAGTGAATTGCCTCCGTGTTTGAAATGTGCTCTATGAATAAAGCTGCCTTGCCTTGATTGAAGGAGGCAAGTTGTATTCAAGCTAATTGTATCAAAGCGTGTTAACAAATGATAATAATGTGGCCCATTGAGACTTGTATTTGAGTACCTCTGGAGTAACATTTTTATTGGACCCTTTTGGATGTAAAAACACTATTTTGTTTCAGATGGCTCTGTTCTGTCAATGATGAGGCTTCAAGTGGTGAGTTAAACATTTTGGAGGAATTTCAGTGTGGTTTGACAAAAGCCTGTACGTTGTCTACAATTACTGTTGTATCCTTGACTGGCATATATCATTGGAATCACAAGAATCCTAGCTTTCTAATTATGTATAATATGTAAATGTATATAGAAAGTGTGTTGAAAGACGATGCTAATTTGACCAGTAATTATGTTTATCCCATGTGTGAGACTAATTGGCACCTGGCAGCAAAAAAAAAGATGCAAAAAGTGAATTTTGCATTATATGTCCCCTTTAATTCTTACATCATTCTCCACATACCCATGATTCTACGTCTTAATTATCACTTCAAAATCCCATGTGGCAGCACTGCAACAGGATCACAGCTTGTACAGAAAAAAAACATCACTTGAGTCTATTTAAAATGCAGCAAGTGGTTGCCATCTTTCCTTCCTAACAGCATTATGAAAGAGCTCTCTACAAACAGCAGCTCAAGGACATTTCCTCACTAATAAAACTCTTCATCATCGGCGCAGTTTATCAACAACAAAGCGTTTTGGGTGATAAACACCACAAAGAGCGAGCTGTGTTTTCTCACCAGTTCCTGAAGACGAAGGAGGGCAGGAAGAAGATTGGCATCGGCGTCTCTTAGAAGTTCAGGCTTCTCCATAATCTGAAACATATCCACGTGTTTACTTTCGGTTTACAACATTTACACTCACTAAATAAAAGGTGTTTAAATGAAAAACACTTTCAGTCCAAATTCTACATCAAATTAACACTTTTTCTGGCACAGAAATGTCAGGTCAATACATCTGGAGCTTTGTTTACCACTTGCATTACAACAGATGGCATCATAAATAACACAGATGTGTCACTCACGATGTATCGCGTCTGCTCAGCAGGAAACTGGGAGGATTGTTGCCTGTAGATCCGCACAAAGTCAGACAAGGAGGGACTACGAGGGAGCAGCGAGGCAGCATCGCAGCCAAAGAAGGACAGTAGCACTTGTTCAAACAGGAACGCAACAGACACACATTCGACGCAGCTGACCGTGGTGTGAGGAAGCTGAGGAGGAGAAGGAGCAATGGTGAAGGTCAAAAAGTCATAAGATGGGTGAACATAAAAACTCCACTCTGTGTTAATTTTTAATCCGATTTAAAAAGTAATAAATTTCCCCACTGTGTGATTAATAAAGTCTATTTTATTCTAACATTTGATGAAAGAAATACAAATTAAATAAATAAAAAGTATGCTGGGGCCTTTATATAAAAACCTTGAATGAATGTATTTGTGATTCGGGTCTTTTCTGGACAAAAGAAGGCCCTGATGTACACTTTTTGTAGCCACCACTTTTATGTGAACGTTTGTAGAAGAAACACAAACTACTTTGAGTTCTTTATAATAAAACCCATATAAAAACCACTGGCAAGAAAGTAGCCATCCATAAACTACAAATTTTAATATTCTACACGATTTAAAAGGCTTTGTTTGCTTCTAGATATTTTGTTATTGTAATAGTACTCTGCAGTGGTCTGTTTAAAGGTTTACACAAGCTGAAAGAGTAAGGATCCAACTCTGAAATAAAACAAGCCCACATGTTCATCACTTGTCCTTCAACCATCTTTTTTTTCCAGAAAGGCGACTTATTGTGCTCAAACTCTGGATTTTATAATCAGCCCACATTTCATGAAGTAAAGCTAATAGACTTGTTAAATGTAAAATAAACTATTTCAAGCGGTTATTTCTTGTCATTCTCATGATGATGTAATACAGATCATGTCAAAGTGATGAATGGCCTGCATTTGTTTATTAGCGCCTTTCTGAGTTAGAGGACTCCAAAGTGCTTCAACCTACAGTCATTCACACACTGATGAGCTACACTGTAACCACAGCTAAACTGGGGCATTTTGACGGAGGCGAGGCTCCCTTACACAGGTGCCACAGGTCCCTCCAACCACTGACAGTCTGACACAATGGCCAACTCAACACAGCCTGGGATTGAACCAGTAAACCACCAGTTACAGAGTGAACTCCTAACCCCTAAGCCACCTTCACCCCTTCATAATGTTCTTATTTTATGGAGCATGAATTTGGGGTTTTTCTTATCTGTAACCTTTAATATTCCTAATTACAAGGAATAAACTATTTTAGTCTGTGTAATAAATAAATGGGTATCAATTTCTGAAATGAGGGACAAGCATAGAAATTTGCCATTTAATGAATTTTTTTTTGGAAAGGCACCCATAGACAATAAGTATCTCTCACCTCCAACTCTTCCATCAAAATATTTGTCACGTGACTTTTTCCTGAGGACCGATGGCCATAGATGAAGACTGAAGGGTAGCAGTACTGCTGTGGCTGGAAGAGCATAAAAATAGCATTTTTGTATCAATATTTTTTTTGCATTTTAATGTATAAATTTCCCAAGGATTAAAATGTCATCATCTACTCACAACATTAGAAGCTTGTAACAATAGCTTTGTCACAAAAAAAAAAAAAAAAAAAAAAAGCTACTGCTGGCTCTTGATTATCCCACAGCTTCATATTTTTGAGATATTTTTTTAGATTCTCGTATAACTTTAGAATTATACCAAAATATATTTTGCTGCAGTTGCCCAAATATAATTTACATTAGGGAATTATGTCATCTTGATGCAGCTTTTATTTAGGTTTAGATGTCTGTAAACATATGAAGGTTTCTGGGTACCATTGTATTTTCTCAAGCAAACTTATATTATAAAAATGTGTAAATATGTACTGCAAAGAAAAATCATGCAATAAATTGAAAAAGCTCTACTAAGGACAGCCCGTTGTGCTCAAACAGCCAAATGACACCATCAAGATTATACAACTTGCATTGCACTAACACAAAAAGATTTGATGAGCATCTTCGGCAAGCTGTAATGTGCCTGCGAAACAAAGGTTTACAGACGTGAAACTCCAGTTTACCTGACAGAGAAAACACAATCAAACGCTGACAGTGAGAATGGAGACCAAGCCAACGATTCTTTTAAACCACCATTATAGTTCCTACCTGTCCCATGAGAGACAGCAGCATCCCAGCCTGGACTTCTCTACAAGGCAGCAGCTCTGAGACTCTTTTTAGCCTTTCTTCGTCGTATCCTGGTTGCTGTAACAGCCCCGTCATCCTTACCGTCCAACTCCCAAATATGCCCGCACGGTTTAATCTTCACGAGGCTTAGAATAATCTGTCTAAAACCGTGACAGTTAGCATAAAACTCGGCTTTTTGTAACTGAAAGTCCACCGACACGAGGCGGAAAAGACGAACACAGGCGGTAATGTGGGAGGAAAAAGTGCCAAAAAGAGAATTAACGTCGGGAAAGTACCGATAGAACAAGTTGGGGGTAAACTAACACCCTGAAAGAAACCAAGTAAGCAACTTTAAATGATGAGAAAATGCATTTTCTCTTAAGAGAACTGGATAAAACGTTAGCTGCAATTTCTCGCGCGCCTTCGAATTGCGTAGAAACGTGATCCTCTGTTACCCAATGAAAATAGAGCTCAGAACTCTGGGAAATGTAGTTTAAAGGTTAAACACAATTTAAATAGCATATTTTGGATTTGATGTGGTGATTTTAGGTTAGTATTTTAGTAATATAGGGATTTATCTACAATATGATCCAGAAATAATAGCATTGACTTAATCTACTACTTTTGTAACGAACATTTTAATACGTCACTGTTTTATATTGGTTGAAATAACAAACTCTGTCTATTTCTTAAATTTAAATATTTGATTGTTTGTCAGTCTAGATAGCAAAAAAATCAGTTCATTCGGTAAAATTACTAATTTGCATGAATTAAGATTTGATGATTAAAAATGAAAACATTCCGAAAAATCATAATGATCACTGATCGCTTTGTGTTTTTATCTTTGTTCGTTTTAGTAGTAAAAATAAGTAATTTTTAGTCATGCAAAATCTCTAATTCATTGCCACTGAAGTCATGTTACCATATTTTCTGTACATTTTTCATTTTAAATCTTTGTGTTTGAAATTTCGCGCGAGCAACGTCAGAATGGGATTAAGGGATGTGGGTTGGCCCTGTACTATACACGGACATCTGCGGTTGTGCTCCTCAGACGGATCCGTGCAGGGAGATCTCACACATCCCCTGATAAGAAGCGGACTGCATTCCACTACATATGCGCGCAAATGGAGAATTAATCTGCAAATGGATTACCGGCGCTCGTATTTTCCCAGAGCCACGTTTCGATTCTGCAGGCTGATGAATGAAAATCGGAGCTCCAGAACAGAAATCAGGACCCGGCCTTGCCTCTATACAGTGCAGCTGATGCTGTGGACACGAGTGTAAGGAAAGAAAACACAACCGAACCAGAGGAAGTTCTGCTGATTACCAGATGAGGCAGGTGCCACTTTGATCCGCATCCTCCCCACACAGACCAGAGGAAATGGTCCCCGGGGCTCCCAGCGCGACCACCACCATGCTCCCTGCCTCCGAGGCTGCCAAAATCTACCAAACCAACTACGTCCGGAACTCCAGGGCCATCGGCGTCCTGTGGGCCATCTTCACCATCCTTTTCGCCATCGTTAACGTGGTGTGCTTCATCCAGCCCTACTGGATCGGAGACGGTGCGGACACCCCGCAGGTGGGCTACTTCGGTCTGTTCCACTACTGCATCGGAAATGGACTGTCCCGGGACTTGACCTGTCAGGGCAGCTTCGCCGAGTTCAGCAGCATCCCCTCCGGTGCGTTCAAGGCTGCCTCGGTCTTCATCGGCATGTCCATGTCTCTAGTCCTTACGTGCATCGGCTGCTTCGCGCTTTTCTTCTTCTGCAGCACCGGTACGGTGTACAAGATCTGCGGCTGGATGCAGCTGGCTGCAGGTAGGAAACTCGGACGGCAGGTATGGGGAGCTCCAGCACTCAGCTTGTCCAGATCTGCAACTGTTCTCATATCTCAATCAGATGTTTGTTGTGGGAAAAAGCTGAAAACTAAGAGAGCTTACCTCAAATTTTCATCTCAAAAACAAAATGTGTGGCTTTTTAGCTTCCAAAAACATAAGGCCAAAGAAAGAAATCATCTGCTTTGAATTTCTGAATCTGTAGAGGCTTTAAAAGCGCACTAATCTACTGAGCTGCAAATTTTAGTTTCAGGAGCACTCTGCACAACTTTATGAAAATATTCTGGAATTTGTAAAATTAAATAAAAAAGAAAGGACGCATTTTCTCTTTGCTTGTGCACATTCAAAATGTGTTAAGCTCCCTTCATAAAAATATTTATTATATTAAAACAAATCATGCAGAGGATCATGATCAGAAATTAAACAAAACCTGGTAAACTACTAAAATCTTGTAATGGATGACTGACCACAGCTTTGCCTTTTCAGTGGTTTAAATGCCTTGAACCTACTTTGTGGGGTCGCGGGGGGACAGAGAGCCGGTCCATTGCAGGGCAACACCGAGACACACAGGACAAACAATCATGCACACACACACTTAAAGACAATTTAGACAGACCAATTTTGGACTGTGGGAGGAAGCCACGCATGGAGAACATGCAAACTCCATGCAGAAAGATCTCAGGCTGGGAAGCAAACCCAGGACCTTCTTGCTGCAAGGCAACAGCTCTAACCACTGCACCGCCATACTAAATGCCTTGAAACTTAAATAGTAAAAATGCATTTTTTTTATTTTGCACATCAAATAGACATTAATGATTTCCTGCACCATTCTCGTCAAAATATTCTAAATAAAAATCATTAAAAGGCAACATGTAGAGGAGGCAGAACAGCTTTGCATTAGGTTATCTTAAAGTATGCAGCTTTCACAAAAATGATATATTTAACACCTGATTCAGAAATACCAGTTCAGTTCTGCAGAAGCCTGTTCATCGCCCACTGATTAAAATCGGGACTGTTGAAGCAGAGAAACCTCTAAAATTTGCTGGTGGTGGCCCTGTAGGACCAGGAGTCACTGTTATGAAAATATTTCTGTCAGGATGTATTTTAATATTTCAGACTCATTATCTACAACTGAATAAATGAGAGTGAACAAAAAATAATCACTGCTCAGAGACATCAAAGTCCTAGCCACAGAACAGACCAAATCATCAACCCACCACCACCGTGCTGTATAGCTGGTATAAGCTGTTCTAATGCGATAGATTTGGTTTAATATCTTTGTTACATTTGCACTGAGTTGGTTATCCAATTTCATTTTCTTTAGTTCTTCTCTGTACACAAAGTGACACAGTGAATTTTCGATGTTCTCTGCTGCCTTTGTCAGAGAAACCGGGATGCTGATGGCATCACTTCCTTTTATCCCTGGGCAGCAGAGGATGATATCGCCCTCTGCTGCCCGTGCCTTCTCTGCTGATCTGATTACTGTGTCCAATGAGTGGTCCAAGGTGTAAACTCCTCCGTCCCTGTTCATAGTCCTGCCGCGTCCACGTCTCTTTATCTCTATTGCTTCTTTGATCCATCTGTTCCTCTGTGTTTATGATCCGCGTGTTATCCCAGTCCATTATATGATTTTCTCTTGTACGGTGGTCTGGTTTGTTATGATTAAACATCACAGACAAACATCCAAAGGAGGTAATTTCTGGTTCAACTTTGTAAACTTGAGCTGGGTTGTTGTGGTTTTTAGAGAGGAGAGACTTTATGGGGCTCTATTTAAAAAACACAGAATTTTATTTTTTACTTTAAGCTAGAGCTTGAACATTGAGCTCAGTGATTGTTGAGTTTGAAACTTGACCAGCTTCATATTTGACACCGCTCTGCAGCCTGGCCAGATACCACACTTAACAGTTTTGTGGAGCAGGAAGGTGTCCTTGGGGGTGATCTTTATTTTCTTTACAGCTGTTAGCTGTTACGCTAGCAGTTAGCTTTTTCAGTTTGATAATTATCAAAAAAAAAAAAAAAGCACAAGAAGAAAAAGAAGTTTGCTTTTTTGTTGGCATCATGGCAGAGCCTGGAAGTAAAAGTAAGTTAATAATGTCTTTGGAGGTGAAGCAAATCGCTAAAATCAGAGTGAACATTGGCGCGGCCTACACTAGTCTGAGGGAGCTAAAGGAGGCTACAAAATCACAAACTGATGTTGACCTGGCTTTGTTGCTATTGGACTTGTAAGTAATAATATTTTTTGTCAAACAGTGTGTATCTTTGTACTTCATGGTTTATTTTAGTATTAGTTGGCTCATGTTAGTGTTAGCTTGTTAGCGGAAGCTATAGCAGGGTTGTTTACAACAGTTGTAATTCCACTTTCAACCAGTAGGGTGACGGAGCAGGAAACTGCTCTGTGTCGCTTTAAAGGGATACTTTGCAACTTTTTCATATTTTAAAATAGTTTTCTTGAGCCAGAATGTGCTAAAATAACCCTTTACCGGGTTAAAGAAGCCACCCAGCCCCATCACCCCCCGTGGCCAGAATATTTCACTTGCAACTTCAGACTGGCGGGCTGCTCTGTTGGGACTTAGAAAAATATGAGCTGACATACCTGGCGCTGCAGTCTGATACTAGCATATTTCCTGCATGTTTTAGATCATAAACACAGCTGATTATTTTAATTTAGTGATGAATCACTCATGTAGACACTAATGAAGGCTGGAGAGACATTTCAGCTGTTAGATTAGCGTGTTAAAAAGACAAACGCACAGCGAGAATGATTTTGCTTTCAGTTCTACAAACGGGCACTAGGGGGTACTAAAAAAAGCCAACATTTTTTACGTCTGTGACTTGTGCAGCCTAAGTTCAGAGTAAAGCTTCTTCAATAGAAAGATTGGTAACAACTCTGATTTTTAAAAAAAATCAGGAATCAGCCTCTTAATCCTTCTTAGATGGATGTTCAACAGTTGCGTTGCTAAAAATAATCAGTTTTAAAACTATTAAATCTATTTTTTTACTGTTTTAATCCATCTTGAGGCAATCCCTCTTTGTATCTGACCCGTCCCTGAGGACCAGTGGACTGCTGTATCTTGCACAGGGACACCTCGACAGCTGGGGTCTGGGACCCAGAGCTGATGATTGCTATATGGCACTGCTGGGATTGAACCTCTCTCCCCATTCATCCTTATTCAAACCTCTTGTTTGACACACAATCAAGTAATTCAGCGAGAAGTTGTCATGTTGCGAAGGGTGGAGGTGGTGGACCAAGTGTGGTGGAGGGTTCCAGGAGGCAGAAGAGCAGGCACGGATGAAATAAAAATGGATTTGATAGCAACGGGAGCGACAGGACAAAACGAGACATGCACATACAATGATCCGACCAAGGACAAGAGCAAAACAGGTGGTATAAATACACAAGGCTAATTAGGAAAACATGGGCAGGTTAATGAGGGACAGGTGAGAACAATATGGACTAATCAGGGCAGGAGAGAGACAGTCAGGAGGGCAGGGGCAGATCGTGACAGAAGTAACCCCCAGCAAAGATGAGGAGCAGTAAATGTACTCCTTTATCATCACACCCATGTTTTATTTAATCATCAATCTTGTATGTCTTCACAATAATAACTAAACTATAATCTAAATTATTTCCCACAGCTGTTTCTGAAAGAGGAAGAACATAATCTAGGCAAAACCTGCAAATGCATTCTTAACAATTTCTGTTTGAAGTCTTTTGATGTTTATTTGGGAATCTGCATGATGGAAAAGTTAGCATTTCATTACAAAGAGTAAAAAAACTCACTCTAGAAATTATAAACAAAGATCAGGCAAATATGTAAATTAGGAACTTTATTTTAATTTTACAAGATATGTTGATTTCTTTTTGTTTGTGTTACACATCTGAAGGAAAAAAAACAAGTCTGAGAATAGTTTTTGTGTATAATCCCCTGGCATTGTTCTCTGCACCTTCGCTTGAAGCAAAACAGGTTGTGCTTGGATGGGAATTAAATGTCATATTCAATAACAATCAAATTAAAAGAGAAAATGCATTTCTACCTTTGTGTATGGGAGCATCATTTCAGGCTGGAAGTGTCATGTAGGTTTGCTGCTGACCACCAGGCTGCACAATAAATAACCTGAGACCAGCCCCGCATCCCGCCTCCTGTCCGCCGGATTGGACACCAACCCTCAGTGACCCTGAGCAGCACTGTATAGGAAAATACACTGATGATAAGAGACTAGCTGCAATGTTAGTTTCATCAAAAAATACTTCAGCCCTGAAAATCCTCCTGCTTGTGTGTGAAGCGGAAGCAGCTGAGGAAAAATCACAATGAGCTCCATCACAATGAAGTCTTAATGAGCAGCACTTTGTTTCACTGTGGTGATTTAGCAGCTGATCTAAGCAGCTTCTGCTCCTGTGAGTCCATATTACTGCTAAGGATTATTACATTTTATATAAAAATAATGATTAAATCACTGCTGAGTAGTCACGTGGTCTATAAAATGTTAGAAAACACATTGGCAACTTCAGAAAAATCATAATTAATGTCTCACAGAAGTATTAATCTGGATCAGCACAGGGAAAACATTTTTAATGAGCATTCAGTCACAGGTCAACAATACTGAACCCAACTAAATAAAAAGAGATATATTGTAAAAAAAATCTAAAAGATAAAATGCTGATGGTTTTAAATACTACCAACCAATTGCCACCTGATTTTAGATTTTTGGAGTTTAATTCAGGTTTTGGGCTCATTGTTTCAGGGTATCCGCGGGTCCTTAAAAAGTCTTAAAAAGTCTTAAATTTGCTTTTCAAAATTTAAGGCCTTAAAAATCCTTAAAAATTACAAATAATCCTTAAATACAGTTTCCAAAGGTCTTAAATTACCAAAGGCCCACTAAACAAGATTCTTTTATTTCTATAAAAATTTTGTGAATTTCTAGTCAGTGTTCAGGATTTTTTTGTGCGTAATGTTGGCGTAAGCGGAACCGTACACATTCAGT